CCCTAAAGCCTGTGGAGGAGATACAGAGAGTGACATATTTTAAGAAAGGTAACCTGAGTGATGGTGGTATCATGATTTATAGAGCCTCGTAATGTGTTTGACATAGAAATGTTGACTTCTCAAGCATGTTCGTGTCTTTTCTACCTTTCTGATAAAGCTCCTTACATCCTAGGTCACTGCTGTCCAATAGAAATATAATGGGAGTTACATATGTCATTTTAAATGTTCTCTTAGCCACAGTAAAAAGAAACAGAGGAAGTAAATTTTAATAATTTTATTTAACTGAATATATCCAAAACATTGTTAACATGTAATCAAGATATTTGCCCACTTTTGTTTTGTTTTTGGATTAAGTCTTAGAAATCCAGTGTGTATTTTATGCTTACAGCACATCTTAATTTGGCCTAGCCATATTTCAAGTGTTAACAGCTACATGTTGCTAGTAGCTACTATATTGGACAGTTAACCATAGCTAATACTTGGGACTAATTTCAATTGTGACTTAAGTCTGGACCAATATCATAGGACTTGAGGAGTCTAATAATCTATAGAAAAAGGTGTATATTTTGAGGAAAAAAGTTTTGCTCACACATTGTCTTACCTATTTTTATGAATTAGAGTTAAATGGTTTATTTCCCATTATAAAACTATTTTGGAGAGTTTCCTTAGAAATAGTGGCCTTTCATTAGGTGTTTTAGCTCTAGCAACCTTTGTGATGCAGCAGTTCTCTTTTTTCTAGACATCAACAAGTTTCTGTGGATGGTCCGGATTGGAGGGAGCACAGACACAGGCAAACATATCAAAGAGCACGATTATTATACTCCAACTGGGGAATTCCGTGTGGATCGTGAGGGGTCTCCAGTGCTGCTCAACTGCCTTATGTACAAGATGTGTTACTACCGTTTTGGACAGGTCTACACAGAAGCCAGTGAGTGATGCATACGAACACTAGTGACAATAATAAGAACAGCGATAGCTAACACATACAGTGTTTTTCATATGCCAGGCACTGCTCTAAGTGCTTTACATCTGTTAAGTTATTTCATCCTCACAACAATCCAAAAGGTAGATACTAATGTTGTATCCATTTTATATAAGGAAATTGAGGTATAAATAGATTACTTAACTGCCCAAAGTCACATTACTAGTGGCAGAGTCGGTTTAAACTTAGGCAGTCTGGCTCTAGATTCTGTGCTTTTACCCCTTACTTTTTATTGCCTCTTAATAAAAGGTATTGCAATGAAAAAAGGAATGAAGGGGGATAGAGTGAGATAAAGGTCTTCCCATTTCTTCAGGTAAATACATTGATAGTAGTTTGATTAGGTTAGGGCTTTCCTTCTGACTTCAATTTCTTGGTTTGGCACTAGGGACAATTTCTGAAGTGGATGCAGGCCTTTGACTTCTGCTAGGTTCTTCTCTGATCCATGGAAGGGTTACTAGTGTATCACAGAGGCCTCTGGGTGGCAGTCCTCAGGAATAGAGGGTCTTGGAAGTCAGCCCCCTATCTCTTAAGAGAGATAACCTCCATGGACTCTGCCAAGCATCGTCTTGGAGAGGACTTCACTTAGGGTAACACTTGATTTGCCCCCACTACTTGGCCTCCTTTTCTGCAGGTCCTACTCTCTAAACAACTACAGGCTGAGGAGTAATGTTCAAATTAGTAGATGATTTAACAAATTGATTTACTGTTTCTTCAGGAAATCAATACTGTAGTAAGAAATGTGTCACCTTTTTCATCCCTTTCTAGAGCGTCCACCAGGCTTTGACCGTGTCCGGAATGCAGAGATTGGAAATAAAGACTTTGAGCTTGATGTCCTGGAGGAAGCATATACCACAGAACATTGGCTAGTCAGGATATACAAGGTGAGCAGATGTTACACTAGAAAGCAGCTCTCACGTTTGCAGATTGGGTCTAGTGCTTAAAAATGGGCCACATATTTCTAAAATAGGAACACTTCTAATGTCTGAAAAGTAGCTTGCAACTCACTCAGAAGTTTACTATTTTTATTTTAGATTGTTTTTAGAGAGTAGACACCTCAGTCTGCTGTCTTTTTGGCAGTGGTTGCAGTGATATTTTTCCAGTTGGGGCTGGACTTGATCTGTTTTAGTGATTATCAGGCTTGGAGGGGGTAAAAAAGAAAAAGTGTGTATGTTTGTGTTTTTGAACTACATTTTCTTCTTTCCCACTGAAGAATTTATGGTATAGAAAGTCACATAGAAATGTGTCTTATCTCTTACGTAAGAAAAGATTGAGAACTCTTGATATATTTGGAGAGTAGGTCATTTATACTACTCCTAACAGAGGTACTCCAAAGGGCTAAGCAGAGAGTAGCTAGTCTCAGACCTGTGCTCGTTTAGTCACAGAGCCAAACCAGGGAGCAGAATCCAACGTACTCCCTTCCTGTCTGGGTGAACCCAATTCAGTAGAAAAGCTCTCCTAAATTGACCTGATTGTAAATACTAAACTGGCATCTTTATATTGCAGGTAAAGGACCTGGATAATCGAGGCTTGTCAAGGACATAAATGTTACATCCAGCTCTGATATGCTTCGCACTGAATACGTCACATTTAGGATATGGAAGACGTTTTTTAAATATGCAGTTTATAAGAAAAGAGCACGATGGGATTAGAATTGTCTGAAAGTTTTGCCCTGGGCAGTATGGGCTGGGCCAAATGCAATGATTTTTATAATTCTGAGCAGGTTACCAAATCAAATGTCATGGCTTTACTTTGGTCAATTAAAGGGGGGAATTTTTTTAAAAATGTGCCTTATTTGTTTTGACCTATGACTGATTTGAGGAAGGCAAAAGTTTATGCTGGGCTGATAGGAGGACAGAAAGCAGACCTCATCATGTTCTTAGCTCCCTAAATGAGCCATGTAGCGGCATTCTGTCTTTCTCAAATCAGGGAAACTATCAAGGACTAGCTCAGATCTTACATATACAAATAATTTTGTCATTTCAAAAATTGCAGCACCTAACACAATGCCTTGCACATAGTGGGTGCTCTATAAACTCTTTTTGAATGAATAAATGTTTGTGGGACCAGAGGAATGGATTTCTGGGCAGGAAAGGCAGCTTTGTTGACATTGTGTCTCTGTTCTCAACATCTCTTGTCCTTAGGGGCTCTTTGACTTTATGAGGGACAGAAGATTGCTAGCCAGACCTGATCTCAGCAGTTCTTTGGGACTAGCTAGGTTTTATTTTTTTTCCTCTTTGAAGCAGGAATAAATCAAGTAAAACCAAAATAAGCAGTTTTGAAGACTCAGGGCAAACAGTGGAAGTATTGTTATCAATGGAGAGGGAGAAACTCCTTCAACATTATGTATAGAACTTGATGGTCAGTAGGTGTTTTTGAATCAGCTGAAATATAATCCTACATGTCTATTTGAAATCCAGCTTTTCAGTACTCTCACTTATCCATGATACAGTAAATGTCTCTTTGCTCATTTCCTTTAGCTTATGCACTAAAACTCTTGCGGTTATTTAAAGTGAGCTTCTTTCTCCTTTAGTCTTAGCCTATGTGTTGTTATTAAACACCACTAACAAGTTTGATGATCTGGTTTTGAAGCCCTTGCCAGACAAGCTACAAATTAGAAGAGGGATGAATTGCTATTAGCAGGTACCTAGAGAGCAGTGCTAGCCTAACTGCAGGGGAAGAGAAACTTTAAAAAAATTTTAACTCAAAACACTGTAGTCCCATCGATATTTAATGTCAAGACAGACAGCTTTATGTTCAGTACAGTAGGACATTGTATGTATTTTACAACATAAAACAGATACCAGTGAGGTGGGGGGGGTGTGTGTGTGTGTGTATATATATATATGTAAACCTAAGTTCATTAAAAACTATACAGGGTAACTGTTTAGTGTTACCTCTCTTTAAGAAACAGGAGCAATTACGTGGCTTTTAGATAAGTCAAAATGGTGCTCCTAAAGGGTATGCTCAGGAAAACTTGTGTACCCAGGAAATTTAGCCTTCCAAACCAAATTAAGTGCTTCAACTGTGGGTGAGATTTAGATTTGATGTAAGATTTGATTTACTGTATGTAAATACATTATTTGATTTATTCCTAGTGGAAGAAGTTATTCTGAGTTTTTTTGGTTTTTGTTTTTTTTAACCTATATGAATAATATCAGAGATGATTAGTGATCTTCCTCTATAGTATATACGGGATAACTCTTTAATTCATCACTATAGTTGTTTTTGCTCTTATGATTTTAATTTTGTTAGTTTCTAGGCTACATGAAGCTATCTTTTTAAAAAATTTACCTTTCTTTTTCATTGTTATAGGGCATTTAGTGTAAAAAAATGGAATGATTCTAAAAAAGCACCAACACTGTTTTCCACCCCCTAGAGGTAACCACTTGCAACTCAGCTGATTCTCACATTACTTACCTCCATATCATTAAATAATTTGCTTAATTTTGCTATGTGTTGGTTTTCAATTTAGGTATCATCAGTTGACTTTCTGATGTGGAAATTGAAGATTTAGCTCTTTTTCCCCATCCTGCTGTTCCCATGTGCACACTTATTCTTACCATCTTTATGGTTCTATTATAGTTATGATTTAGTTTTTACCTTATGGCTTTTCACAACTAGACCATGTGGTATACTGTTACTATTTTTTTTCTGCATAACATTTCTTTGGAGGGAATTTTTTCATTTGTTTTTTATACTTGTCACTAATTTCTTCCCAAACTTTCCTTCATTTGTGCCAACTAATCCTTTTACTATGTTCAAACTGATTAGATATTCATTCTTAGAGATGTCTTCTGTTCTGGTATGTTCCAATTTGGATTGGTTTACTCTAGATTTGCTATAAGCTTCTTGGGTTGGTGTATCCTTTTACTGTCATTTTGTGTGTGTTAATCTCCTGACTTCTTTCTTATCATCTCTACCTTCTTGAGAAACTGTGTGGGAGATAAATTTCTTGAGATCTTACATGTCTTTTGTCACGATTGATAAGTTGGCAAGGTAGAGTTCCAGATTGCGAATAACTTTTCCTTAGAATTATTTTAAAGGCATTGGCTCATTGTTTTCTGTCTTCTAAATGTTGAGAAATGCAGTGCTATTCTGATTCTTAATTTTTTGTTTTTGTGTCTATTCCCTCTCACTCCCACCCCAGACCTCTTAGGATCTTCTCTTTGTACGTAATGTTTTGAAATTTTCCTAATGATGTGTCTTGGAGTGGGTCATTCATTGTGCTGGGTACTTTAAACTTTATTTATTTACTTTTTTTGCTTCTAAGTATGGAAAGTCAAGTTCATCAGTTCTAGGAAGTTTTCTTTTTAAGATTTTTTATTTTTCCTTTTTCTCCCAAAGCCCCTGGTACATAGTTGTGTACTTTTAGTTGTGGGCCCTTCTAGTTGTGGCATGTAGGACGCCGCCTCAGCATGGCTTGATGAGCCGTGTCATGTCTGTGCCCAGAATTTGAACCAGCGAAACCCTGGGCGGCCGAAGCAGAGCGCGTGAACTTAACCATTCGGCCACGGGGCCAGCCCCAAAGGAAGTTTTCTTGAGTAATTTGTGGATTCCCCCAACTCCCTTTCTTTTTCTGAAAAATAAGTTATTTGGATGTTGGATTTCCTGGCTTAGTCTTCCAATATTCTTATATTTACTCTTCTGTTTTCCATTTTTATTTTTCCTTCTGGGAGATTTCCTAAACTTTTTTTTTCTAATGTATCTATTTAGTTTCCTTTTTTTCTGTCATATTTTTTAAATGTCCCAGATGTTTTTTGTTTGAATATTCCTTTGTTTTGAAATCTTTCATATTAAAGCCCTTTCCAGATTCTTAGTTGTTTGCTCTTATTAAAGAGTGGGACTATAAAAAGCTAATTGGAAGGTCTGTTTGGGGTGGGATGGGGCTTACTGAACATGGGCTTCACTATCCTGTGATCTGGGTGAGTTGTTATACTGGGAAATCCCTGATATTGGTATCTTTAGATCTTTTCTTTTATAGGATTTTATGGGATATAAGATTCCCTGGAGAAGGCTTGTATATCCTCTTAAAGATACAAGCCAGGCTGCCAGATTTCTGGGAATAAAGTGGGGAAAAAAGGCTTAGAGGTTCACCTTCCCATGCATAAACTTAAACTTGATCCCTTTGTTTTCAGCAACCTTTAACTGTGCCTGATGCTGTGCAGTTCAGAGCCTATGTATTTACCCTCTCAAGTCTTGTGTCACTTTTGAGGAGGGGCAGTTCCTTGGGTACACAGAGGAGGGAGGGGATCCACAGGTTTATTTGCTTCTTAGTCTTTCAACCTACCCTCTTTTTAGCCCCACCTTCACCTCCACGTTCAGTTACCTGGTGTCACTAATTCTACTGGAGCCTTTGGGAGTTCTGAGATGCAAATCAAGTTGCTTTTCTGCTTTCTCATTGCTGGCTTTAGGATTCATCTTTCATCTAAGTTAATTATCTTTCATCTAAAGACTTGCCACTTTCCAAAATTTTTTTTTCATACTCTATTCTTGTGGGTATTGCCTTTTAAAAATTTATTTTAAAATAGTAAGTTTTACTATTTTAATATTTACTATTAAGATTTACTATTTTAGTAACGTTTCAGAAAAGAACAGAGGCTATTGTGTGCATTCATTCTCTCATATGCTGTCTTTCACGGGTATTCTGCCTGAAATCTGTATACTAATATTTTTTCAGGCTAAGATACCTTAATTCCATCCAGACATATAGGAACAGTACAGATCCTCGTCTTTCTTCATATTCATTGTTTACAGCATACAGTGCAGAAACTAGAGAAAATGGAGTAAATGACCTGGAAAACTTGCTTTATTACATGAAAGCTAAACTGTGATGTCATGGTTAAAAACTTACTGGATAAGCATTTTGAAATGTTCTGGTCTTGTTTTTTTGTCCCTGAATTTGCTTCTTTAAAACAGATGTATGCATTTTTGTGTAACGTATTTTGCACTTACTTTACTCTATTACTAGTATCACAGTCAAGAGCTAGTTATGCTCAATGTATGTGGCAGACATACTTCAACTGGAGAATTGGATGGAGATGATCTTGCCTGCATCTTGAGTTCAGAGTCTAGTTTACTGTGAAGGGGGCATACCTATTTGAGTTCTTCCACATTATTTTGTGCTCAGGCAAGTCCCTTTCCCCTGAATTTACTTTCCCATTTAAACTGGTTGCTTTTAAAATTTGCATTGTAAAACAAGGCGAAACGGCCTTTTTGCTTATACCTGCCTGTTTCCTACACGTTAAGAATGACAAAGCGGGTAAAACTACGCTATGCAGGTACTCTTCCTTTACAAAGGCTGGGCTAAGGTATTTTTTCGGAGCCAGTTCAGACGAGACAGGAATTGGTTACCCTGGCATTACCTCAAACTACAAATGAGTAGCTTTCTTCATCCGGACGCCTTCCCACCCTCATTACTCTGGCCAGGCTTTTTTGATGCTTCTGGCTCCCACCACAAAGTTCCTTTCGTTCTTCACAGGATCAGTTACAACAGGCGTCCAACGTTCTCGGCTCTAGTTTTATCTGTAACGCACGTTAAAGTTACAGAGGTAGCATTTGCTGGATGTGAGCCTCACAATCCTGCCGGGCAGCCGGGCGGGGTGTTCGGAGGTGCCCCGCTGGTCGGTGCAGGCACGGATCCGTCCCGCCCGCCAGGTGCGGAGCGGCGGGGCGCGCGCGCGAGGACGGCGCAGCCGGATGTGCGAGGGCTCCTCGGAGGCGGCTTCGGCTCCAGGAGCGCGAGGACCGCCCGGCCGAGGATCCCGCCCTGGAGACCATTTCGTGTCTGGGCCCAGAGATCATCGGTAACGATGCGGTGGGCTGTTCTCCAAAGTAACCCAGGCTCGGCCGGCTTAAGCCTCGGGGTGAACGTCTCTGCGCCAGCCGCCAGGAGCCGCCAATCTTCAGAGCAGCGAGCAGGGGAACGCACGCTGTCCTACTTTACGGCAAGGGTGCGCGAGTTTGCGACAGTGTGACGCGAGCAAGTTTTGGCGGGAAAAGCGCCGCATTTGGATTCCTGTGGTGGTAGGCAAAGGACGGCCTGGTGAGGAGGGGCGGTCGGTAGGGTGGGTAAGGGATCTGGAGAAGGAGTTCGGGGTCCACATTAGTTAGGAGGGGCACAGCGAGAGGATGTTACCGGGGACGAGCGAAGGGGATCGGCGAGGCTCCCACGGAGGGTGGTTTCGGAGGGCCGAGGAATACCTGGGGGACCCCGTTGTAGAGGGACTGGAGAGACCAGCTCTCTGCTGGCTGAGGACCCCAGAGGTTTGGGCCCCGGCCGTCAGTGTGCCACCCAGCCCTTCCTTCCGCTTCTTGGGACAGTTTGGCCCCGCCCCGTCTCCTCCTGGCCTTTGGGACGAGGTGGGGTGGGCATTGGAACTGAGCGGGCGGGGAGGAGGGGCTGCAGTGGTCGTAGTTATTCCGCCCCCGCTAGCCCGCATCCTCTTACTCTTACCCAAACCCCACCTCTTTCATCCCCCTTCTCCAGTTATACACCATGACACATTTGTCCCCCACTCCTCAACACAGCTATGGAATTTCCTCTGAGCCTGAGCAAGGCAGAGCGTCAGCCTTCGGGTTGTGTGGGAATGGAGATTGTGATTCACACAACAAAATGCCAGAATTTAGAATACTTGCTTGCTTGTGGTTTAAAGTCTTGGGTAAAATATGGATGGGGTGTAAGGGGGAACCAAGAGCTGTTATTTATATTGAGCAATAGGGCAAGAGGCAGAGCCCAGTGGCTTGACATGATTGGAGCTTATACTCATCCCCGTCTTTTCTGGGTTCCCGCCTTTTACAGCCGTGGCACGTAGTGGAGTCATGGCAGTGCCCTTTGTGGAAGACTGGGACTTGGTGCAAACCCTGGGAGAAGGTGCCTATGGAGAGTGAGTCCGAGTCCGCTTACCTTGCCTTCACCCTTGTTTAGTTTTCTGTCTGTTGTTTTTGTTTTAAGTACATATTCGCCGTTTTGGAGTCGTTTATTTTAATTCAGTGGTGCCTTAGAGAACAGATATTTGGATTAGAAATCCAAGACTTCTGGGAACTGAAGCTATGCAATCTTTTGTAAGGATTAATTTGTTTCTTCCTTTTTTTAGCGTTCTTTGTAAAGAGCTGAAAGAGACTTCTAAAGTCAGTTTCTCCTTCCACGTATTCGTTGGGGTTTAAGCGTAGTGGTGAAATGAGCAAATGAATAGACTCTGGAGTCAGACTAGTTTCAGACCCTCACTCTATCACGTACTGGTCATTGTTTTGTGTTCTGAGGCAAACTTCTTAATGTGCCTCTGTTTCCCCAGCTGTAAGATGGCAATAATGATACCTACCCCATAGGTGCTTAGAACAGTTACCACAGGAGTACATAGTATCAGATTAATGTATGTTAGGTAATGTTATTAAAATTAAATGAACAGAGCATGTGTATATGTGATGTGGCCTAGAATTGCTGTTATTCCATTTAAGTTTATTTTATTAAGCGTTTATTAAATGACTTTTGGATGTACAGCACCATGACTTCTTTAGGGCATCAGCTGTCATACTTTACATTTCAGAAAGGAGTAGTATCTGTTGAGAACATGGCAGAAACCCTTTCCTTGGTTTCTCCTTGGTGGGGAAAGTAATAAAGGTAAAATAGTTGGATGAGTCGTGTTTAATCTTTTGAAGTTTTAAAAGAAATAGAATTCAAATGTCTTCCTTTTCCTTTTTAGAGTTCAACTTGCTGTGAATAGAAGAACTGAAGAAGCAGTTGCAGTGAAGATTGTAGACATGAAGCGTGCCATAGACTGTCCAGAAAATATTAAGAAAGAGATCTGTATCAATAAAATGTTAAATCATGAGAATGTAGTGAAATTCTATGGTCACAGGAGAGAAGGCAATATTCAGTATCTGTTTCTGGAGTACTGTAGTGGCGGAGAACTTTTTGATAGAATAGGTATGGGAAAGATGTAAGATAATTCTACAAAATGAGTTTCTTAATATGTTTTTGAATCTTGGGTCCTTGTCCAGTTGCTTATGCAACAATGAAAATGGAGTAGATCTTGTTTTTGCAGTTTACATTAACACATGAAAGCATATATTAGAGTCATCAAACTTTTTTCCCAAGTTGTATGTGTGATTTTGGTTGCGATTGCTGTTTTGTGGAGTTTAAGAATGATAATCAAACTAATTTCATGGTGGAGTATTATAATTGCAATGTATTGTTTGCCTATATAATTTTTTTCTTTGTAGACATTTCTAGTTACATGAAATCATTGCATACATTTACAGACCCAAAATACTAGCATGTTATTATATTTCTTCTTTGTTTAAATGAAATAATTGAGAATTTTCTAGGATTGCCTTATATATATTCAGTAATTTCCATGTTTGCTACCTAAATGTGCTATGTAGATTCAAAGGCTTGATATTAAAGAATACTGAGAAATACATAAAATATGTTCTGTGAATCTAAATTTATTATTTAAAACTACTGTATTAAAAGTTAAAAACTGATTATTAGAATCTCCAGTATATATCTCAGGAGAGAGTTGAGTGTAAAATCAAGTTAATGAGGAAGATAAAAATATAAAAAGATAACTGACAGTGGAACATTTCTTAATAAAACTGTATTTCCTGAAGGAACTTCACAGGCATTCACAGCTTTGTATTGTAAGAGATTATGTGAAGTTTAAATCTGTTGTTAAGTGTTTAGTGGAATTAGCTTAGATTTCCCCAGGCTTACACTTTGGCATTTACATTTCAGAGGTAGGAAAAATATTGTCAGCATTTAGAAGAAATTAGGGGAGAATTCGAAGGATACCATGTAGATCGTGTTTAGTGGAAGATGAGCAGGGGCTTTCAAGATATGGCTTGCATTCTTGATTTGGATGATAGTTTGTTATTTTTCTCTGTAATTTTTCTGTGATGTTAATTTATTTTCACCATGAACAGATGGGGAAGTGTGAGCTATTAAGTACTGTATGAATTAGTGAACTCCAGAGTCTTTAATTGTTAGCATCAGATTCTGTGTGCTAAAGTACAATCACAAATGTCTAACCTTAGAGTTATGAGACTGTGTGGTTGACGTCTGTTTATACTTACCTGGTAAACTAACTTTCATAAATAATTCTTATAGAGCCAGACATAGGCATGCCTGAACAAGATGCTCAGAGGTTCTTCCATCAACTCATGGCAGGGGTGGTAGGTGCAATTGTCTCTTTTCCTTTTACTTAAAATTAATGTGACAAATAAGTTACTGAATTTTGGTTATGTTTCCCTCTTAGGTTTATCTGCATGGTATTGGAATAACTCATAGGGATATTAAGCCAGAAAATCTCCTATTGGATGAAAGGGGTAAGGTTAACATTTTGTCACTGCTGCCTAAATTATTTTATATAGCTATACAAGGCAGGATCAAGGCTTTTGCTTTACTGAAATTTCAGGGCAAAAAATCCGAAGAAAAGTCTAAGAAATTTGGGAGACTTGGTATATTTAGACTTCACAAGTCCTTCATGATAGTTGTGGATAAGACAGAGAAATCTGACCTAGATGCAAGGGTAGCTCACTGGATGAATAACTATATGAATAAGCTTAAGCAATTCTTTAATGAATTAATAAAAGGAAGTTTCTATTGGAATACCCTGGACCTTAGCTTTGTCCTTCTGTTTGTTCTTTTTAATCTAAGATTTGGATGTAAGGAGTTTGGATATATTTTAGGGATGTCATAAAAGCTGAGAGTAATGGATAGTGAGAGTGTTAGCTTATAGAATCAGGATCAAAAAAGATGACAGAAATGTTAGCTGCAAGAGGCAGTGACTTTTGTCTCCTTTGTTTAATGCTCTGTTTAATGCGTTAGAATAGTGCCTGGCAAATTGTAGGCGTTCAAAAATATTGAATGAATGGGTTTAGCAGAGCAGAGAGGTGGGTCAGATTTAACAAGTTGTTTTCCAATAGGGAAAAATCTAAAGTCCAGTATTTGAATTGAAGACACTAACCAAATAAGTACAGTTGAATGGCATATCTTTGGTAGCAAAGCAGGTTAAAAAAGACTTTTTCTAGGCAGCAAACTTCATGTTAGTCACCATTGTGATTTGGTCATTAGGAAACTAAGGTGACATTATTGAGAATGAGGAAGGTAGTAGTTCAACACTACTTTGGTGAGACCATGCCGGAAATAATGGGTGTCCTGGGACAATACTGTAAAAGACACGTAGACCACTGAAGTACTTTCATAGGAGACTGACTAGAATGATAGAAGAAACACAAGCTGTGTAAAATAAGGAATAATTGAAGGAACTCAGGGGAAACTTGCTACCTTAAATACTGTTCTTCAGAACGTGGGTGAAAACTTCACGGAAGCACTTTGGATTAGTACAAGGATGACCCCATGAGTGGATCTGTCCAGAAGCTGAATAGGTTGCTTTGGGATGTAGTGAGTTTATAACATGAGAGTCAGACATTGGATTATTAATTGTCAGTGATATTGAAAAGGGAATGTAAACATTGCTTGGCTAGTTGGACCTAAGTACTTTTAAGATTTTGTCCCACCCTGAGGTTTAGTGTTTCTGGTTACTGTTCATGACAAGTAACAGTATACTTTCTTGTCAGCCTCCTAACCTCTTCCTGAACTCTATAATTCACCTTCATACAAGAGAATAAATTAAGAAAAGCCAGTTTATTTAATAAATAATGGAGATGTGAGTATGTAATAATATCTGGAATATGAAAACTTTGTTCCCAAACTAAAAGTATTGGTTTTTTTCTCTTTATAAAGATAAAAGATATCCATGACTTAAGAGCAAAAGTATAAAGAAGAAAGTAAAAAATCACCAGAAACTCACCAGTCAGTTATAATCACTGTTCATTTTTTGGTGAATATATTTTAGATACCCTTTTATTAACCCATCTACTAACCTAGGTACCTAAGATCCTCCCTTGGTTATTTAGCCTACTGCAAGTTGTTTCATAGGCCACATGGCAAAATTTTAGATATTCAGAAAATTTGTGTGGGGAAAAAGGAACTGTAGAATGGTCTGTTGATGAATCCTGAGAAATTAGAGCACAGCTGGCAGTATTCCTTTTGCTTCCTTTTTTTTCTTTAAGGAAGATTAGCCCTGAGCTAACATCTGCCAATCCTCCTCTTTTTGCTGAGGAAGACTGGCCCTGAGCTAACATCTCTGCCCATCTTCCTCTACTTTATACGTGGGACGCCTACCGCAGCATGGCTGGCCAAGCGGTGCCATGTCTGCACCCAGGATCCGAACTGGCGAACCCCAGGCCACAGAAGCGGAACGTGCACACTTAACTGCTGCGCCACCGGGCTGGCCCTTACTTCCATTTTTTATTCTATTTCTATTACTTTTTGAATGCTAATAGCCTTGATGGTATTATAGTCAATTCTTCCCCTTCCTCATCTACAAAATAAGTCTTTTTTTGATTCAATGCAGGCTTCAAGCTACGTAAAACCCTCTGGGAAAGAGGGATTGAGTGTGTCTCTAAGTATGAGAGGCAGTACAGCATAGTATTAAGAGCGTGAGCGTGATAGTCCTTTGAACCTAGGTTTAATTTACGTCACCTTGTAATAGGTATATGGCCTTGGGATAAGTTGTTTAATTTCTCTCTGCCTCACTTTCTTCATCTATAAAATGGGGAGAGTAAGAGAATCTATTTGGGTTGTGAGATATGATACATCTCTTCTTTATCCTCACGACTCAAGTAGAGATATATATAAAACATAATGTAAGTTAGATCATAGAATATATGCTTTTTTCTTATGTGTATGTGGACTTTACTTTTTGCCCTTTTACATTGTATTTGTATAGCATAAAAACTTTTACTTTTATTTAAAACTTAAAAAAAATTCAGGCACACAAAATCTGTGTAAAATATATAATACATAATATAATAAATTAAAATATAATAAACAACTGTGTACCCATCTGGCTTAAAAAAGAAAACATTATATATATAACAGTGGTGTTCATAATAGCAAAAGACTGGAAACAACTCAAATGTCTGTCAACAACAGAACAGATAAATTATGAAATGGATGATTTATAGCTACAAGTAATGACGTGGATGCATTTCAGAAATATAATGATATAAAGCAAAAAAGGAAAGATGCAGAAGTTCATACAAGTATGATTCTATTTTTATGAAGTTAAAAATATGTAAAATCAAATATATTGTTTAGAGATACAAATGTGGAAAAAAACTCCAAGGAAAAGAAAGGGCATAATAAAACAAAAAATCAGAATAGTGGTTACTTCTAAGAAAGTAGGGAAGGGAGTATATTTAGGGAAGTATTTACAGGGGATTTCAAAGGAAATAGAATGTTCTTAAACTGGGTGTTGGGTTAGTGGATGTTTGTTAAATTATTCTTCATATCCTGCCTATTATATAAATATCCTATTTTTCTATTCAATATCTTTTCAAAGAAGAAAAAATCTTCTTTTCAAAAAAGAGAACATATATTCTATTTTCTTCAGAAAAGAAAGCAGTATAGTTGAAGTCCTCCTGTGTATTCCTTCACAATTGTATTCCCCTTTCTTTTTCTCAGAGGTACCCACACTCCTCAATTTAGAATTTTTTATATGCAGTTCTTTAAACAACAAAATCCAAGGAATATTATGGTCATCCACCAGTAGTTTTAGTGATTACTACTTATAAGTGACTTGGAACTCTTAATCTCAGTGGTTTGTCAAGATGTGTCATATAGCTATTAAAAGGATACTTATAGTAGCTACCTCCCAAGTCAAATACAGGTAAACAGCACCAGTGGCTTACATATTATATTGTGTGGATACACTTGACTTTTAAAGAATCAGTCCCCTATTTTGAGACATTTAAGTTGTTTCTAGCTTAAAAAAAATACAACAGTGATAACTGTTCTATAAATTTGTGCATAGGGCCATATAAAAATAGTCATGTTATAATGAATATTTGCATGGCACTTGCCTTTTTTTTTCACTTATAACCTATTCCATGTCAGTACATATAGATGCATCTTTTTTTTTTTTTAACAGCTACCTATATAGTTTTCATTATGTACGTGTGTTGTAAGAGTTCTTTGTTGATGGACATTTAAGCAATTTTCAAATAATATTGCCATGAGTATCCTTATGTTGTGAATTTTAGGGAGTATTTCTGTGGATATGGTCCTAGAAGTGGGAATTGCTAGTTCAAAGAGTGTGACTATTTCAATTTTTGACATCTTTTGCCAGATTACCCTCTAAAAAGGTTGTACCAGTTGACATCTTGATAATAGAGGGTCTTCCCTAACTCCTAAGACTAGGTTAGATTCCCTTGCCAAAAGATCTTGTCATGTTCTATATTTTCATAACCTTCACAACAGTTGTCTACTGTTAGACTTCTGCAGTAATTTATCTACCTATGTTGGCTAGCACAGTGTCACCCAGTTGCAGTAGTTATTCACTAAATATAAGAAAGTTCTGCCTGCAGTTTGTGTGTGTTGAAGATGGGAAGTTAGGGTGGAAATTTGCTCTTCTGGTTTGTTTTTTGTGCAGAGTTCTTCCCCCTTTTTTAAACTTAGCCACTTTGACAAGAAGTTCTGGTGGTTTGTGGATCTTTAGTTTAGGTGTATCTTTACATATTTTCTTCCTGCCAACTGAGTTTGTTTGCCTCTGAGAAAGTTGTGCCTAGTATATTATTGATGTTTCCTTTCTGCCCTCTGCTCAGTCTGAAGAAGGAGTTAGTTCTGCTTTCAGCCTAAGTCTGGAGCGCCCTTTTTGAGAAGGGCAGCCCCTTTTGACTCCAGTATCTTTCTGTAACCTGGGCCAAATTATTTTGTGTATTAATGCTATTTCTCTTAAATTAATAGAAGCAATGAGGCCTTTTTCCAGTTATGGCTAGATGATGATGTCTTTTATTTCTTCTTTTTTAAAATTTCTTTTTGATCATTTTATGGTAGAGAAGTTCTACAAATCTTAAGTAACACCAGGGGTTTTCTAATAAAACTTAATTCCTTTAGTTATATCTATTTACAAAACATTTTTATCTAGTGCCGTTCTTTTTTCCTTTGGTTTAGATAACCTCAAAATCTCTGACTTTGGCTTGGCGACAGTGTTTCGGCATAATAATCGTGAACGTTTATTGAACAAGATGTGTGGTACTTTACCTTATGTTGCTCCAGAACTCCTAAAGAGAAAAGAATTTCACGCAGAACCAGTTGATGTTTGGTCCTGTGGAATAGTACTTACTGCAATGTTGGCTGGAGGTAAGAACTATTTAATCATGATAAAACTCCTGTCCTATGGAAAGCCAGATTTGTTAGACCAAAATAAATGAAATAAACCAAGGGAATCCATATTTATATGATAGTATTTTGATAGTAACTTATTTATAAGTTGGAATTTTTAATCCCGAAGGTTTTTAAAAATCAGGTATGTATAGCTAATAAATGAAATATCTCAATAGCTATCTCTTTTATGATTCATGTGAATACTTTTGGAAAGAGTAGGGCAGGAAGTGGTTCATCCATCTTTGAAGTGCCTCTAAAATTTTTGTGAGTTGCATTCTTAGTTTGAAAACCATATTGAATTAATTTGGAGGGAACTTTTAATGGATTTGTATAATTGATTATTATCCCTTAAAATCTTTACTGTATAATATTGTGAACACTCAGATATCGGGGACTTAACTTCTTTCTTAGAATTGCCGTGGGACCAGCCCAGTGACAGTTGTCAGGAATATTCTGATTGGAAAGAAAAAAAAACATACCTCAACCCTTGGAAAAAAATCGATTCTGCTCCTCTAGGTAACTTGTTTATCTTGATTGAAAGTACTGATTTCTTGGGTAATGAAGCCTAATGCTGTTTGAATTTTTCTCTTACTTTTTTTTCTTTTTAATTTTGAAACAATCGTGTAAATAATCCATGATCCTTTCAGATAAATTAGAACATAATATTAAAAATTTTTTAAAACCAACCCTCTAAGCCTAGCGCTCAGAAACAGCTTCTTTTAGTATTTTGATATGTGCTTCTACACTTTGTTGTAAAAACATTTAATATATGTTTCTTATATATGTATATTAGTTATAAGTTTGTGTTTTTATAAAAAATGAGATCACACTACACATGCTGTTTTATAACCTGTTTTTTGTGTGTTAATGCTTTGTGGTCGTTTTCCATGACTGTAACTGCAGGTCTACATCATTGTTTTTAAAAGCTGTGATGGTATTCTGCTATGTGGATATGCCTCACTATACTTATCCCATTCACTTTGTTAGAGATTTAGATTTTTTCTAATTTTTCACTGTTATAAAAGAGATAATGGTGATCATCCAAGTAATGTACATACCTTTAAATTATTTAATTAAAAAAAATCCCCAGAAGTGGAACTACAGGGTGAAGGATGTATGTAGTTTTTAATTGTTATGGTTCACTTGCCAAATTGCTTCTCGAAAGTCTATACCATTTCATCACCATCTCATTGGTTTATATTTTTTTAAAAATATTTGATTAGTCTAATAGGCCTTTAAAAAATACACTTGCTGTTTCTCATTTTTATTTTAAATTTAGTACCAATGAGGTTGTATATCCAGTATATATTTATTAGCTTTTTGTCTATTTTTGTGGATTGTCTATTTTGCTCACTTTTTGCAGGGAAGTTTTATTACTTTATGAGGTTTTTTTTTTAAAACATTAATGTCATCAGATCTTTACATTTGTGACAAATATTTTTCACGATTTGTTATGTATTTTTATTTTGTTTATGCTATTTTGATATGCAGAAGTTTTATATTTTTATTTATTCAAATCTATTATCTTGTCCTTTGTGGTCTCTGATTATATTTTCATGTTTGGAAAGGTCTTTTCTATTCCTAACATTAGAAAAAAATTCCCTATGTTTTCATGGCTCCATTTTTTCATTTAAATCTTTGGTCCGTTAGAAAATGGTTTGGTGCTGGGAGATGTATGCATTTTTTATCAAGATAATTAAGATACCTTAGGATGATGGTTGCTTGTATTGCTATCTCCTAAAAAGTTTTTGGAAAGTAGATTTTCCTTGTAAAACTGTGTGAATGAGGATTTAATGTGACATATTGGAACAATGAGTTTGGTATTGAAAATGGATAGGAAGGTTTTGTATTTTTTGTTAATGTTGTCACATAGGGAGAAACATTTCCACCTGGCTCTTGTTCTTATTTGAAACAACTAAGAATCAGATCTGGGAAGAATATTCTAAGATACAGACAGTAGAAAAGGAAAACTGCATGAAAGTAAAGCAATAAATTAGTAGCTTTATTCTTTCTCTTCCCCAGAAATAATATTTGCTTGTAAAGAGATGAGTAGAGAATGTATTCTGTATCACAGGCTGTGGGCTTTTCTAATGTGCATGACTCTTTTGTAAATGTTGTCTTAATGTTTTGTTTTCAGCTTTACTGCATAAAATCCTAGTTGAGAATCCATCAGTAAGGATTACCATCCCAGACATCAAAAAAGATAGATGGTACAACAAAGCACTCAAGAAAGGTAATATCCTTAAAATGCAAGTATTTTTTCTGTGAAAGAAAAGGTACTTGCAACGTCAGTATTACAAGTCAAGAGTACAAGATAGCTGTGGTCTCTGTCCTCGTGGAGATTAGAATGACTAATATCAAAGACAAATATAAAAATAATTGTATGTTTATTAATAATTATAAAGTGGGAAATCAGGGTACTATAGCTAAGAGTTTAACCAAGTCTGAAGTGACAGAGAAAGCTTGTCTTCCTGAGGAAATCCCATTAAATCTAAGATTTGAAGATTAAAGGAGAGCTAGCCAGTTGAGTACTAACAAGATGAGTAGCAGACTCTGAACAGAGGAAGTAGCATTTGGAATGTCTTGGAGTTTAGAAAGTGGTGCATTTGAGGAACTTGAAAGAAGGCCAGTATGGTGTGGACCATGTCTGGCTTGTTCATTGTGTCATCAGTGGTTAGCACAGTGTGTGGTACATCATAGGCACTCAGGAAATGTTTGTTGAGTAAATGAGTGACTAGAGAAGGGAGAGAGGTTTGAGGTGAGGCCAGAGAGGTAGTTAGTGACCAAGCTGTGGAGGGGGACCTTATAAGCCATGTTAAGGATTTTGGGCTTTATAACTTAAGGCCACTGGAGAAACCTTTAAGCAAGGAAATGACATGATCATATATTTGGTTTTAAAAGATCTTTCTGGCTACTTGTAAAAAAATTGTTTTTGATCCTAGATGTGAGAAGGTGGTAACCTGGACCAGGTTGGTGACTGGATTGGAAAGTAGATATATTCCAAAGAGATTTAAGAACTAGAAATGATAGGACTGGTGATTGTTTATATGTGGAAGATGAAGGAGAATGAGGAATCAATGATGACTCCTTTCTGGTTTGAACAACTATATAAATGGTGATACCATTTGGGATGTAACTCAGGAGAAAAACAGATTTTGGGGAAAATTTTATTTGATTCTGGACGTGTTGAATTTGAGAAGTTAAGTAAAACTGTCCCATGGGGCGTGTGTATGTGTGTGTGTGAGGCTTGAGATGTCGATTTAGGTGTTTTCTGCAGATGGATGCTAATGTAAACAATGGTCGTAGATGAAATTGAGCGTATGAAATTTTAAGGAATACCAACATTTAAGTGGTAGGTGGGGGCCAGGGAAACAGAAAAGTAACCAGAGAGATGGGAGAAAGATCAGAGAATGTGGAGTATTGAGGCTAAGAGAAGAAAATGCATGACAGTGGCAGATACTGTTAAGTGAATTAATAACATGAAGCCTAAAAATTTATCCAGTGGATTCTGTGATATGGCACTTATTCATGATCTTGGGAGGAACAGTTTTGGTGGAGAGTTGGGAATAAATTCTAGAGTACAGTGATTGTAGTCTAAAAGAGAGGTGAAGAAGCAAAGTATACACAGCTCATTGAAGAAGTTTGGCTGTGAGTGGGAGGAGAGGACAATAGCTGGAGATGAATGAGGAATTTTTAACTCTTCTCTGAATGTTTCTTTTACTTTTCACCTTGTTCTAATTGAAATCCAGCTCTCCCCTGAGGACACTGCTTCCTCTTAAGTGGTAGATGTTTTCTTTCCCACACCCTTGTACCTTTGATCTGGGAGTGGGACAGGCATCCTCCTTGTTCTTTATTGTTGCTTTCTCCTTTTTCCCCCCACATTCCTCTCCCCTCCATTTTGAGTCTCATATTTATCAGACTCAACCACCCACTATTCTTTCCTTGTATAATCAACTTCTGAACCCTAAAGTAAAATTCCTGCCACACTGTCACTCTCTCCAGCACAACTCTTGACATAATTTTTATCATGATTCTTGGTGATTTAAATATTCATTTGGATGATCTTTCCAATATCCTGACCTCACATGTCATTGACCTTCTCTCTTCTAGTGATCTTCTCTTCATGCATACTACTCTGACCACCAGCATATTTTTTTTTTGGCTTCCTTTCTCTAGTACCCTGACTCCAACAATTCTTTGACCTTACCCAGACTTACAATCCATTAATTCTACTACCTTTTCACTATCTCTTATCTGCCACCTCCTAGGTCCTGAGTTCCATCCTCTTTTAAAATCCCAAAGTCGATCATTATAATGACTTCTTTGCATTCATCTTCAACTTCCTTGCCCCATTCTCTCTTTATCATACTTACAGTGAAAAAGCTAACTCAAATTTAATCCAGTTTTCTGCCTACTGTACACTATACCTGCACATCTAATCACAGCTAGAGAAAAACTCACAACAGTGTTCACTTTAAATTCAGCATCACTGATCTCAAGTGGGCCCTTAATTGCACCAGGCAATCATAATGCATTTCCCCACTTCTTTCACAACCCTGCTCTCCTAAATCACCTTTTTATACCTTTTCTTTTCTCTTCAACTTCTAATTCCTCCTTCCCCATCCTCAATCTCAGTTGGTGACAGTACTTCCTGTTTCACCGGGAAATAGAAACTATCACAAGGGAACTTCCACAAGTTCCCACAACCATCTCTACCCACCCACCCAACTGCCTCTATGCTCATATACTCTGCTTTTTCCCCTGTTGCTATGGATAAATTGCTCCAGATATAAGCCAAGTCTTTGTCTTATGCACTAGACTCAGTTCTCTTTTGCCTACTCAGGGCTATTGTCTAGCAATTCTTCTCTCTTTCTCCTGCATCATTAATTTATCACTCTCTGCTGAATATTTCTCATCAGAATGCGAACGTACTGTTTCTTCCATCTTACTAGCCTATACATAATAGGCTCAATAAAATATTCGAATGAATAAATTGCTAAATAAAAAGGTTGGCTAAACCTAAGCATGTTTAAATGGTTTCAGGATATATCCAGCTGAGAGGAAGAAGCTGAAAGTCTGAGAGAGGGAGTAAGAGAGCATCTAGATCTCTGAGGAGAAGGGAGGGTGTGGGTTCAAATACAAGTAGAGGAATGAATGTTTGTTGGGAGATGGTAGGGAGGAGAGAATAGGTAGGAATGCAAGTAAATTAGCAAATTTGGTAGTGGCAAGTGAGGGAGTTATGAAATTTTCTTTGCTTGTGAGCAAACCCCAATTTATGGAATGGGGTTTTCTTTGTGAAGTGGGAGATAGTATCATATGATGAGTGATGAGGTGCTGGAAGATGGTCTTGGGAATTTGACAAAAGTGTAGAAGTTTTAAAACAATGATTGTGGAGAGAGGGAGAGAAAACTGACTAGAGAAACATAGGAACTGACTGTCAGTGTTGAGGATCCAGCTGAGGGTAGTAACTGTGAATTTATAGTCACATCATTTTCTGTATAATGGTTATTCTTGGTAAAGCTTTTCCAAGAGGGCAAAGAGTGGTAGATAGTGCAGATTCATAATGTTCATTGCCATTATCATAAATTATTTTCTATTATAAGAAGTTTTGATCCTTTAGCTAGGTCTCTCTGTCTTCACAGAATATTGTTCTGATACCGTAAATGGTATCACCATAGTGAGTCCTCCTAGTAGGTTCATAATGACCACATTTCTCATAAAATCATGTAGGAAGAGCCGCTATTTGTCATATAAATGTTTTGTGTTAAATAAATGGATTTAGATGTGGTTTTACTTCTTCAAGTTGCTACTTGAGTTAAAAAATTTTTGCATAGAAGACTTGAAAGCATTTGTGTATTAATGTTTTCTTTTTTAGGGGCAAAGAGGCCCCGAGTTAGTTCAGGTGGTGTATCAGAGTCTCCTAGTGGATTCTCTAAGCACATTCAATCCAATTTGGACTTTTCTCCAGGACATGCTGCTTCAAGGTAAGATTAATTAATAAAGATCAAGTAGTTGTTGAATGAAAAATAATACATGTATATATTTTTTCTTAATAATGAATGTAATTTTTATCAGTGTGAGAATGGTAATGCGATATAAGAAAGGCCTGACGGATTTCATTTAAAGATATGTTTTTCTCCATATCTTAATGCCTCAGTGAAGAAAATGTGAAGTACTCCAGTTCCCAGCCAGAACCGCGGACAGGTCTTTCCTTATGGGACACCAGCCCTTCATACATTGATAAACTGGTACAGGGGATCAGTTTTTCCCAGCCCACATGTCCTGATCATATGCTTCTGAATAGTCAGTTACTTGGTACTCCAGGATCCTCACAGGTAAGGAAATTCGGTTTTTCAAATAAATTATGGAAGCCCTTTATTTTTTATTGTCTTTAGGTCTTTTTTTCTTAATGTATAAATCTTAGAAATATAGTATTAACACTTTAATTTGTACAGTTTTTTTTGACAAGAGAGAATTGAAGGAGACCTTCATGTGTTAAGAATCTTAAGTCACGGAAAAGAATTTTCAGACTAAATAGCTATGATATGACTGCTTTTGGTGATGTCAGATATCATATATCAGCTTTTCTTTATTTGACGCATAGAACCCCTGGCAGCGCTTGGTCAAAAGAATGACACGATTTTTTACCAAATTGGATGCAGACAAATCTTACCAATGCCTGAAAGAGACTTGTGAGAAATTGGGCTATCAATGGAAGAAGAGTTGTATGAATCAGGTATGTTTCACTGATTTTCATTATATTTTTTCCTGAGGAAAAATTTAAATATTTGAGTAAAAAACTGTCATTATCAGTATATTTTAAAAATATAAAGTAATTAGTTCAATTTGAAAAAGAAACAATTGAAGTTGAAGGAATTTAAGTGTTTTCTTTACCTTAAGAAATAATATTTCTTAAAAGACATCTCTAAGGTTATTAAAAATATTAAGAGACTCATGTTATTTTCATAAAAACTATGTATACTTAAAATGTAACAATAGCAATTGACTTCTTTCTGTGAAAGAGGAATATATTAACAATCTCACACTTCCATCTCCACTGCTCCTACCTACCAATTTTTGTTGTTTATATTATCATACCATATTTATAACATTGACATTCTAATCTGACTTTAGGCTTTTCAAAAATCTTAACATCATGAAAAACAAACAGAGGAGAATATTCTCTCTTAAAAGAGACTAAAGAGACCTGATAAATAATGCAATGCATGATCTTTCAGTAGATCATGGATTTAAAGAAAAAAAGCTATAAAGCATGTTATTGGAACAATTGGGGAAATTTGAATATGGGTTTTATATTAGATAATATTTTTGTATCAGTGTCAAATTTCTTGCATGTAATCATAATATTGTGGTTTTGTAGGGGAATGTCTTTATTTGTAGGAGAGACATGTTGAAGTGAAGTGATGCCGTTTGTAACTTACTTTTTTTTTCCTTAAAGATTGTCACCTGAGCTAACAACTGTTGCCAATCTTCTTTTTTTTTTTCCCCTGCTTTTTCTCCCCTAATCCCCCCAGTACATAGTTGTATATTTTTAGTTGTGGCTCCTCCTAGTTGTAGCATGTGGGACACTGCCTCATCGTGGCCTGATGAGCGGTGTCATGTCTGCGCCCAGGATCCGAACCGGTGAAACCCTGGGCCTCTGAAGGCGGAGCGCACCAACTTAACCACTTGGCCATGAGGCTGGCCCTGTAGCTTACTTTAAATAGTAAAAAACAACCACATAAATAAATGTATACTTATCTAGTTTGATAAAGGGAGGGTATATGGTTATTTATTCTACGATTCTTTCAATTTTTCTGTAGATGTGTAAGCTTTCAAAATTAAAAGTTATGGGAAAATGTTACTCTGCAGAAATCTGAGGCCAGCCTGATTTTCCTGTCACTTGTATAGATAATTTACTTTTTTTTTTAAGGTAGATTTATTGAGATAAAATTCAGATAACATAAAAATCATCACTTTAACCATTTTAAAGTGTATAATTCAGTGGTTTTCAGTATATTCACAAGGTTGTGCAACTATCACCATTTAATTCCAGAACATTTCATTGCCCACAAAATAGACTCAATACTAATTAGCAGTCACTTCTCGTTCCTCCCTCCCTTCATTCCCTGGCAACCACTAATTTAGTTTTTGTCTCTATGGACTGCTTATTCTGGACATTTCATATGAATGGAATTGTATAATATGTGGCTCTTTGTGTCTGTCTTCTTTTACTTAGCATAATGTTTTCAAGGTTAATCTATGTTATAGCATTTATCAGTACTTTTATCCCTTTTTATAGGTGAATAGTATTCCATTGTATGGATAGACTACATTTTTTTTATCCACTTGTCTGTTGATGGACATTTGGGATGTTTCCACGTTTTGGCTATTATGAATAATGCTGCTGTGAACATTCTTTTACAAGTTTTTGTTTGAACATGTGTTTTTGTTTGTCATGGCTATCATAACAAAATACCACAGACAGGGTGTCTTAAACAACAGAAATTTATTTTCTCACAGTTCTAGAGACTGAAGTCTAAGATCAAGGTACTGGCAGGATTGATTTCCTCTGAGGTCTCTCCTTGGCTTTCATATAGCCACCCTCTTGCTGCCTTCTCTTACGGTCTTTCCTCTGTGTACACTCATCCCTGGTATCTGTCTCTCTCTGTATCCTAATTTCCTTTTCTTACAAAAGACACCAGTCAGATTAGATTAGGACCCACCTATTTTAACCTAACCTAGGTCTTATTTTAACCTAATTACCTCTTTAAAGGCCCTATCTCCAAATACAGTCACATTCTGACGTACTGGGGTTTAGGGCTTCAACATACGAATTTTGAGGGGACACGATTCAGCCTATAACAATATGTTTTCAATTTCTTAGGTATATATCTACAGATGGAATTGCTAGGGCATATGCTAACTCTATGTTTAACTTTTCTTTTTTAATTTTAGTTTTAATTTTTATGGCATATGTTTAACTTTTTGAGGTGCTGCCTAGTGGTTTTCCAAAGCAGCTGCACCATTTTACATTCTCACCAGCAATGTATGAGAGTCCCAGTTTCCCCACATCCTTGTCAACCCTTCTTATTGTCTGTTTTTTTGATTATAGCTATCTTTGTGTAGGAAGTGTTATTTCATTGTGCTTTTGATTTGCATTTCCCTAATTACTAATTATGTTGACCATTTTCTCACATGCTTATTGGCCATTTATATATCTTCCATAGAGAAATAGCCATTCAAATCCTTTGACCATATTTTAACTGGGTTGTTTCTCTTTTTACCATTGAGTTGTAAGAGTTCTTAATCTACGCTAGACCCTTGTTAGATATCTTATTTGTAAATATTTTCTCCCATTCTGTGAGAGAAAATTCTCCCATTGTTTTCACTTTTTTTGTTAATGTCCTTTGACCCACAAAAATTTTTAATTTTGATGAATTTCAATTTATCTGTTTTTTCTTTTGTTGCTTATGCTTTTGATGTCAAATTTAAGAAACTGTTGCCTGATCCAAGAACGTGAAGATCTACACCTTTGTTTCCTTCTAATTGTTTTACAGGATTAGCTCTTACATGTCTTTCATCTATTTTGAGTTAATTTTGTGTGTGATGTGCGGTAGGGGTCCAAATTCTGTCTTTTACATGTGTATATCCAGTTTTTCCAGCACTATTTGTTGAAAAGACTATTCTTTCTCCATTGGGTGGTCTGCAAAATAAATTGGCTATAGCTATATTGGTTTATTTCCGGACTCTCAGTTCTATTCTATTGATCTATATGTCTTTGTTTATTCCAGTACCATACTGTTTTGATTACTATAGTTTTGTGGGAAATTTTGAAATTGGAAAGTGTGAATCTTCTAAGTTTGTTTGTCTTTTTCAAGATTGTTTTGGCTGTTTATGGTCACTTGCATTTCTATCTGAATTTTAGGATTAGCTTGTCTGTTTCTGCAGAAAAGGCATTTGGAATTTTGATAGGGATTACCATGAATCTGTAGGTTAATTTGGGGAGTATTTCCATTTTAGTAATATTAAGTCTTCCAATCCGTTAACCTGGGATGTATTCCATTTATTTAGGTCTTCTTTAATTTCTTTAAAGAATATTTTGTAGTTTTAAGTGTTCAAATCTTGCACTTCTTTGGCTAAATTTACTCCTAAGATTTTATTCTTTTTGATGTTATTGTAAATGGAATTTTTAAAATTTCATTCTTGAATTGTTCATTGCTAGTTTGTAGATATACACCTTTTTTTGCATATTTTTATAAGTTGATTTGTATCTTGCAAATTTCCTGAAATTATTTATTAGTTCTAGTAGTTTGTATGCAGATTCTTTAGGGTATTCTATATATAAGACCATGTTATTTGCAAATAGAGATAGTTTTACTTCTTCCATTCCAATTTGGATATTTTCATTTCTTTTTTCTGGTTTATTGCACTGGCTGGAACTTCCAGCATTCTGTTGGACAGAAGTGGTGAGAGCAGACATCCTTTTCTTGTTCCTGATCTTAGGGGAAAACTTTTCGGTCTTTTACCATTAAGCATAATGTTAGCTGTGGGGTTTTTTTGAGGAAGGTTGGCCCTGAGCTAATATCTTTGCCCATCTTCCTCTACTATATATGTGGTATGCCACCTCAGCATGGCTTGATAAGCAGTGAGTAGGTCAGTGCCCAGAATCCAAAACAGTGAACCCTAGGTCGCGGAAACAGAGCGCGCAAACTTAGCTGCTGTGCTACCAGGCTGGCCCCCCTGTGGATTTTTTATACATGCCATTTATCAGGTAGAAGAACTTTGTATTTTTAGTTTGAGTGTTTTTATTAAGAAAAAATGTTGTATTTTTTCAAATGCTTTTTCTGCGTCTATTGAGATGATCTTGTGGGATCTTTTACTTTTCCCTTTTTCTCCTTTGATAATAGGGTATATTAATTGATTTTCATATTTTGTATCAACTTGCATTCCTGGGATAAATTCCACTTGGTCATGGTGCATAATCCTTTTAGTGTGTTGATAGATTCAGTTTGCCAGTATTTGTTGAGGATTTTTTTTCCTGGGAAAGATTTGCCCTGAGCTAACATCTATTGCTTATCTTCCTCTCTCTTTTTTCTCCCCAAAGCCCCAGTACCTAGTTGTATATTCTAGTTGTAAGTCCTTCTAGTTCTTCCATGTGAGTCGCTGCCACAGCATGGCTACTAAGAGATGAGTGGTGTGGTTCCACGCCTGGGAACCGAACCCAGGCCTCCGCAGCGGAGTGCAACTAACTTTAACCATTAGGCAATCAGGCTTGGCTCTGTTGAAGATTTTTTTTACTCTGTTTAAAAGGGATTGGTTCTGTAGTTTTTTGGGGATGCCTTTGTTTGATTTTGGTATCAAGGTAATACTGACCTCATAGAACAAGTTGGGAAGTGTTCCCTCCTCTTCTATTTTTTTGGAACAATTTAAGATGAATTGGTACTAATTCTTTAAACTTTTGGTAGAATTCTCAGTGAAGCCATCTGGTCCTGTGCTTTTTCTTTGTTGGGGATTTTTCGGTAACTGACTCAATATCTTCACTTGTTATAGATCTATTTACTTATTTATTTATTTGTTTGTTTATTTTATGTAGAACATTTTATCTTTTTATTTTCTATTTTTTTATTTTTATTATTTTTTTTGAGGAAGATTACCCCTGAGCTAACATCTGCTGCCAATCCTCTCCTTTTTTGCTGAGGAAGACTGGCCCTGAGCTAACATCCATGCCCATCTTCCTTTACTTTGTATGTGGGACGCCTGCCACAGCATGGCTTGCCAAATGGTGCCATGTCTGCACCCAGGATGTGAACTGGTGAACCCTGGCCCACCGAAGCAGAATGTGCGAACTTAAGCGCTTTGCCACTGGGCCAGCCCCTGTTACAGATCTATTTAGATTTATTATTTCCTCTTGAGTCAGTTTTGGGATTTTGTGTGTTTCTAGGAATTTGTACATTTCATCTAGGTTATCTAATTTGTTGACATACAATTTTTAATAGTATAATCCTTTTAAATTCTGTAAGGTTGGTAGTAAGATCCTACTTTTATTCCTAATTTTAGTAATTTGAGTCTTCTCTCTTTTTTTCTTGATCAGTTTGGCTAAAGTGTTGTCAATTTTGTTTATCTTTTCAAAGAACTAACTTTTGCTCTCTTTGATTTTTCTGTTTTTCTATTCTATGTTTTGTTTATTATTTCAGTCATTTTAAATTTATTGAGACTTGTTTTGTTTCCTAACGTATAGTCTGTACTGGAGAATGTTTCTTGTGTTCTTAAGAAGAATGTGTATTCTGCTGCTGTTGGGTGAAGTGTTCTATGTATGTTTGTTAGGTTCAGTTGCATTATAGTGTTGTTCACATCTTTTATTTCCTTGTTTATCTTTGTCTAATTTTTATATCTGTTATTGAGAGTGGAGTATTAAACTCTTCAACTGTTACTGCTGAACTTTAATTCTTACTTTAGTTCTGTCAGCTTTTACCTAATAAATTTTGGAGTTTGGATACCAGGTAAACTTTTGTTTATAATTGCTATGTTTTCTTGATGTATTTACCCCTTTAACATTATATAATGTCCTTCTTTGCCTCTTGCAAAAATTTTTGCTACAATCTATTTTGTTTGACATTAGTAGAGCCACTCCAGCTCTGTATTGGTTATAGTTTGCATGGCCTACTTTTTCTCTTCCTTTTATTTTCAACCTATTTGTGTCTTTGAACCTAAAATAAATCTCTTATGGACAGCATATATTTATAGGATTGTTTTCTAAATTTGTTTTCTCTGCCTTTTAATTGGAGAGCTCAATCCATTTACATTTAATGTGATTACTGATAAGGAATAACTTATTTCTGCCTTTTTGCTATTTTTCTCATACAGTAGTCTCCCTTTATCCATGGGGGTTATGTTCCAAGATCCCTAGTGTATGTCTGAAACTGTGGATATTATGGAATCCTATACATAGCTATGTTTTTTCCTATACATACATACCTATGATAAAGTTTAATTTATAAACTAAGTGCAGTAAGAGATTAACAACTAATAAAACAGAAAAATTATAATATATTACGGTAAAAATTACTATAGATCTTAGCAGCCTCAGCATATGAGTTTTTTCTTTCCTTATTAAGTTGGGAACTTTCACTTTTTCACTTAAAGGAGGCACTTTATGATTTCTCTTTACTATGTCTGAATTGCCAGCATCACTACTCCTACATTTTGGGGCTATTATTAAGTAAAATAAGGATTACCTGAACACAAGCACTGCGATGCTGCAACTGTCGATCTGATAACTGAGACAGCTACTAAGTGACGAATGGATGGGTAGAGTATACAGTGTGGATATGCTAGACAAAGGGATAATTAATGTCCTGGGCATGATGGAGAAGGACAACATGAGATTTAATCACACTACTGAGAATGGCGCACAATTTAAAACTTATGAATTATTTCTGGAATTTTCCATTTAATGTTTTTGGATTGAGGTTGACCACTGGTAACTGAAACTGTGGAAGGTGAAACCACAGATAAGGGGGGACTACTATATCTTACATCCTTACGTCTTTTATATTCCTCAATTTTCCCATTACTTCCTTTTTTTTAATAGATATTTTTTAGTGTACCATTTAAAATCCTTTTTCATTTATTTTACTCTTTTTGCCCTAAGAATTGCAAATATCTTAGTTTATAATAATCTAGTTAGGAGTACTACTAACTTAATTTCACTTGTACATAAAACTTTGCTTCTGTGTAGCTCTGCTCCCTTTTTATGCTGTTACTGTCACAAATTACAACTTCATGCATTGTGTACCCATCAAGATAGATTTATAATTATTGCTTCATGTGATTGTCTTTTAAATTAGGTAGGAAAAAAAAGTAGGAGTTACTAACAAAAAATTCATTAACATTGTCTTGTATTTACCTATATAAATTTTCCTTTACCAGCATTCTTTGTGTGGATTTCAGTTACTATTTAGTGTCCTTTCATTTTAACCTAAAGGATTCCTTTAGCTTTTCTTTGTGGGCAGGTCTGGTAGTTTTAAACTCTTTCAGATTTTAACTGGGAATGTCCTGATTTCTCTTTCAATTTTAGTGGATAGTTTTGCCAGATATGGAATTCTTGCTTGACAGTTTTTCTTTCAGCACTTTGAATATGTCATCCCACTGCCTTCTGGCTTCCATGGTTTCTGATGAGAAATCTGCTGTTAATATTGTTAAGTATCGGTTGTTCATGATGTGTCACTTCTCTCTTGCTGCTTTCAAGATGCTGTCTTTGTCACTGTCTTTCAACAGTTTGAATATGATGTATCTCAGTGTGGATCTCTTTCATTTTATCCTATTTAGAGTTCATTTAGCCTCCTGGATGTGTAGATCATTTTCCATCAAATTTTGAAAGTTTTTGGCCATTTTTTCAAATATTTGTTTGCCCCTTTTTCTCCTACCACTCTGGAACTTAACATTATGCATGTTCTGATACATTTGATAATGTCCCACAGGCCTCTTAGGCTCTGTTCGTTTCTTTTCATTCTTATTTCTCTCTGTTCCTTAGCAAGAGTTTCTGTTGATTGTTTTTTTCCTCTATGGGCCATATTTTCTTGTTCCTCCATGTGCCTTGTTCTTTTTTTCTGGGTGAGGAAGATTGGCTCTGAGCCAACTTCTGTGCCAATCCTCCTCCATTTTATGTGGGATGCTGCCACAGCATGGCCCAATGAGTAGTGCCAGGTCCACACCTGGGATCCGAACCCATGAACCCTGGTCTGCTGAAGTGGAGTGTGCAAACCCAACCACTATGCCACTAGACGAGCCTCATTTTGTCCTTTTTTTATTGAAAACTGGACATTTTGAATATTATAATGTGACAACTCTGGAAATCAGAGTTTCCCCTTTTCCTAGGGTTTGTTATTGTTGACACTTGATGTAGTTGTTGATTGTTTGGTGACTTTTCTGATCTCATTTTATAAAGTCTGTATTCCTTGTTGTGTATAGCCTCTGAAATCTTTTGCTAGCTTGGAAGTCAGCTAATGATTGGACAGTGTTCCTTAAATTCTTGGAACTAAAATATCTCCTAGTTTTTTCAGAGAGGTTCTGTGTGAGTTGGGGCATGCCTTTAATACTCAGCCAGGCAGTTGAAAGCTCTGCTTTAGCCTTCACTTCCTCCTTGTCCCATGCCTCACAGTCAGCCAGAGGTGGAGCTTATGGCCTTCTCACATCTTTCCTGAGCATGTCCACTGCGCTGTGCACAATGTGGCCTTTTAGATTTCCAGGAATATGTAAAAGGTTTTCAAAGCCCTTATCTTTCAAAACATCTTACTCTCCAACCTTTCCTTCTAGCTTTTTTGAGTAATCTGTTGTTTGCCCCAACTGTTATCTATTGCCTCAGTAAGCAGATGCTAAAGTATTTGCCTATAAATGTTTTTGACAAATGCTTCCCAGGTGGCAGCTTTAGCACAAGATGAGTTCTAGTCAGTCAGGCAAAGTAAAGACAAGTGTTCTGAGCAGATCTTCCGGGGAGCCAGATCAGCTTAAGACAATTTGCGAATGAGATTTATTCTGCTGCTACTTGTACCTGTACCTGGAATGCGGACTGTTACTTTCAAGGCTACTGTTGAGCTGAGGAATGGGGAATGGGAGTAGGGTAAGTTACAATGTTAGAAAGCTCACTATTCTTACTGAGTCTCACCCATTTTATATGAGTGCTGTGTTGCTGAAAGCTTTTAGTTTCCAGTGTCCTGAAAAAGTCGATTCTGACAATTTTTGCCAATTTTTTTTTCTTGCTTTTATTGAGTTAATGGGCTTTCAGAGTTCCTTACTTCTCCATTTCCATTGACATCATTTTTTGATTCACTCTTTCTGCCTGAATCCTTGAAGATTTTCTTTGTCTTTGAAGTTTAATAGCTTAATTCAGATGTGTTGCGTATCTTTAATTTTCCCAGAACATGATGTGTTGTACCAGTATTGCACAATTGTGGTATACCTGTGTATTTTTATAGTCATTCCTTGAAGAGAGAATTACTACAAATGTTTTTGTAATTTCAGCTTGGTTTAGCTGGGTAAATCTTCTAATATTGCTTGAGCTCATTCATCTAGCTGTAGTCATGTGATAGCTTTACTGTGGCTGGTGATCCAAGATGGCCTCATCCATGTTGGGGTCTTGGTGCTGGCTGTTGGCTGGGCCGTTCTTTTTGTGTCGCTCATCTAGCCTGGGCATCTTTGTAGACCATAGGAATATTCTAAAATACTGAAAGAGGAAGGAAAGGCCTCTCAAGACCTTTGCCATTTTCTGATTGCTGCTGTAGATTTTTAGCCACAAATCTGGCCTTTCTTTTTCTTTCTTTAAGTTTTTATAATCTTGTTTTTCCTCTTAGCCTATTTGTATTCTGTTCAACTCTTTCTTCTTTCAGTGGTATTTTTTTGAAATAGTAAATTTATCTTGTTGCTAAGAGTTACATTGACTCAATCTTTGGTAATGGGGCTGCATCCCGTTTATTGGTCGATCTGGGTTGGGTGCATACACACCCACTGGCAGCGGACAGTCCCTGGAACGAGTGAGATTTTCAGCTGGCACTACTCCTGTTGTAGAAGTGCCTCTCACATTTTTATTTCAGTAGTATCATTGACCTGAGATTATAGTTTTTGTTTAGAGTATTGTCTACCCACACATCGAGCTTAATCTTGTTTTTATTGACTTAGGTTACTGTATCAACAACTGATAGAAGAAACAATAAACTGATTTTCAAAGTAAATTTGGTAGAAATGGATGAGAAGATTTTGGTTGACTTCCGGCTTTCTAAGGTATGTAGAAGAGCACATTTTTTAAAAAAAATACTTTGTTTTGCTATTCTTAAAGAAGTATTGCATATTCATTGTAGAAATTTTAAAAGTACAAAAACATATAAAGAAGAAAATAAGAATCAAGTTTAATCTTATCATCTAGAGAGGACACAGACTTATTTTTGATATATTTCATTATAGTAGTCCTCCTACTTATAGCATATACTATATGGAACTACTCTTAGAGACTTTTTTAAATGGTGTTATATTTGTATATACATGGCATTTGTAAATATGTGGTAACTTGGTTTTTTTGATTTAATATTGTGAACATTTGTTCTTTTCATTATTTATTCTTCTAAAACATAGTTTTACCAATGCTTGAAACAGACAGGATGTCATTGCTTCTGCTCTCTGAGCCCAGTGTGATGGGAATAGTGATGGGCCACAAATCCAGTCAGAATTATTTATGTAGCTACGTCTTCTACCAGGATATTTGATCTTCGTAAGAAGACTTGAAGGGAATGGTAGCTGGATTTACCTAAGGATATTTGTCTCTGCTTACCACTAAAGAAAGTTTGATTTTATGGCTTAATCTTTTTTTTTTCTTTGACATTATTTTTGGGTATCATTTCTAATACAGGGTGATGGATTGGAATTCAAGAGACACTTCCTGAAGATTAAAGGGAAGCTGAGTGATGTTGTAAGCAGCCAGAAGGTTTGGCTTCCTGCCACATGATAGACCCATTGGCTCTGGGATTCCTGGTGAATATAGTGCTGCTATGTTGACATTATTCTTCCTAGAGAAGATTATCCTATTCTGCAAACTGCAAATGATCCTGAACAGTTGTTTTCCCCAAACAATTTCCACTTCTGTTTGTATGTTCTTCATAAAAGTAATACCTATATTTTAATTGTAAATAAAACTTTGGGGAAGGGATGGATAGAATTCATTAGATATTTCTTCATCTGTGTTTAGTGTCTGAATTTGAGACCCATCTGGTGGAAACCAAGCTTTGGGGATACACGAATTTACCAGCTTTTATACCAACATAATAAAAGATGATATTTTTGTCCTGTTTTTAAAATAACATTTAGTTTCTTCCAAAAAATACATATTTCCTCCATGTTGATTTAATTATATGGATGAATTAGTGAAAACAGTCCTTGTGACTTTTGGACAGTAGATTTATCAGTCTATGAAGTAACATCAACTTCAAAAAATATATCCCCAAGATTTGTACTTATACTTTCAAAAGGGCCTGATGAGGTATATAAACCTGTTTTTGAATTATAACTATTAATTAAAATTGCAAGAAGGTATGTTTTTTTTGGTGTAGTTAATAATATATAAAATACTGGTTGGTCTTTCGAGTAGAAGTGGAGCATAAACTCTAGTGCTTAACTGTCTTTACTCTAAAATTACTGTTGCACATTTTAAATATTTTTCTATATTATTTTCTACTTTCACAGCCATATTTTAATTCTTTATTAAAAAATAAATTCTATTTTGAAAATGAATAGTTAACTCTGTGAACTTATTGGTGACTAAGCTTCTAGGTGGTAAGGAAGAAAAGAGGAGGGAGAAGTAAGGAAACTATGATAGAAATAGATGTAATTCCTGGTACTTTAGCTATTAGATTTACTCAGACTTTGTCCTTCTAATAAAATTTACAGTAACTTTTGAATGTATTAGGTTGGGGCCTATATTTCTTTTTCTTGGTAATTTATGAAAATCACTTATCTTAGTCTGAAGTCTAACATCTGAAATTTTATGGTTAGAATTTATCACTTGTTAGTGTATATTGATAAATTGTGTTACTGTAGTATACCCATAGGAGGAATAAATTTGAACCAATTCCTAAGAACTGAGTCAGTAAATTCTCAAATATGAAAGAAATTTTGTTCCTGAGAATTTGACAAGTCTCAGCCATTAGTAACTCTCAAAAACAAAGTTCTCTCTGGCTTTGACCTCTCTCCTGAGCTCCAGACTTTATAGCCACAGTGTACCTGGTATTTCCACTTGACTAATAGTGATCTCATGACCAAAAACACCTTTGGCTCCCTGTTCTCCAACCTGTTCCTCCCTGGTGTCCCCATCTCAGTAAATGGTATATTCAACTCCCCAGCCCTAGAAATCATCCTTCTTGTATTACTTATCCTTCAACAGTTCAGAAAAGCAGTCAGAATGATCCTTCTAAAATGTGAATCAGATATCCCTCCCCTACTGTCAACTCTCATGGCTTTTCATCACACTTCAAACAAAATTCAAAATTTTCTCTGTGACCTACATGGCTTTATGGGATCTGCCCTCTGGCCACCTCTTTGGCCTCATCTGCCACTCTCCTACTTACTCATCCTGCTCTAGCCACATTGGCTCTGCTGTTCTCCTGACAACGTAAGCACATTCTCATCTCGAGATCTTTTCATTTGCTGTTCCCTCTACCTGGAGTACTTTACTCCCAAATATTTGTGTGGCTTGTGCTTCATTTTAAGTCTTTCCTTAAGTGTCACCTCCTATGCAAAATCTTTCTCTGACTTATCTAAAATATTACACCACCTTTATCACTCTATTTCCTTTATGTTTCATCATAACACTTATCATCTGACATTATAGGATATATTTATTTGTTTATCTATTAAGTGTCTGTTTTCCCCATTGGAATATGTAATATGTAAGCTCCTTGAGGTCAAGGACCCTATCTGTCCTATTCATTTCTGTATCCCCAGCATCTACAACATTGCCTGATACATTACAGCGTGCAATAAATAGTTGGTTAATGAAGAAATAGACACTCAGTTGATTGATCCACCCTCAAAATATATCTGGAAACTGAATACTTCTCTCCATTTTTATTGCTACCGCTCTACTTCAAGCTCCTTCATCTTCTCCCTGGATTTCTTAATAAAAACTAATGTCTTTTCCCACTTCCACTCTTGCTGTTTCCCAATCCTCTCTCCTTCAGTCCTTTTTTTTACATAGGTCTCTAAGTTATTATTTTAAAAGGTAAATTGTACTGTGACACTTTCTTGCTTAAAACCCTCTAATGGCTTCCCATTGCATTAAGAATGGAATCTAAATTCTTTGCTCTGCCTGACCTAGCACTGCATGATTTACTCACTGTACTGCAAGCAGGGCAGCCTTCTTTCTGTTCATGGACTATGTCAAGTCTTATTTCCTTTTCAGGACTTTGACGTTCACAGCTGCTTCTGCCTGGAACCCCTTCCACTAGTTTGCATAGCTGACTTAGCATTCAAATCTCAGCCGAAATGGTTCTACTATTCCCAATCACTAGCACATTATTCTATTTTCTTCATAGAACTGATCGCTACCTGAAATTATTTGTTGTCTGTTTCCCCCACCAAAATGTAAGCTCAGACTTTGTCATTTCTTTTCACCCTTGTGTATCCTCTCTATATAAGAGCACCTGGAATATAGTGGGTACTAAATAAATATTTGTTGCATAAATGAATGAATGTTGAATAAATGAATGAATTAATTAAATATCAGATGAGGAAAATGCCATAGAATATTGTAAGGGAAAGGTGAATAGATGGTAGACAAACTTTATCAGCTATTGGTATTTGTATAGAATGGTGGAAAAAGTTCAACTCAGATTTGGACAGGCTAGCTCTGACATTTATAATTATGTGAACATTGACAATTGCTTCTGTAAAGAGGCTGATAATAACTACCTTTTAGAGTTGTTTTTAATGTTAAATGTGTTAATGTATATCAAGAGTGTAGAATACTTTGTTGCACAAATAGGCATTCAATAAACATAAACTGCCATAATTTTTCTGTAGTATTCATTATGCTATTGGGAGAAGGTATTTACTCTCATTATTAAAAGTAATAGCTGCTTATCAGTGAAAATTTGGAAAGGGTAGAAATGAGACTGAAGAGGAATTTATTACCCAAAGATAAAATTTTGTTGGAAAGCTAAAATCTTTTTGGAAAGGTCAACCCATGCTGTGTGTGTGTGTGTGTGTGTGTGTGTGTGTGTGTGTGTGTGTGTGTGTGTGTAGCGTGGCGTGTGTTCTGTGTGTTTGTTGAGATAAATATAGATACATAAAATACGTGCAGTTTAACAAGAAGTTGTAAAGTTAATATCTGTCTAACCACAACGCAATTGAAGAAAGATCATTTCCTGACTCCATGTACCCCTTCCCCATCAAAACCCACTTCTTCCCCCGAGAAGTAATCACAAAATTTACTTTTGTAATAATCCGCTCTTTGATTTTCTTTAGTTTTCTTACCTTATGCATCTTTAAGTGATATAGTTCAGTTTTGCCTGTTTTTGAACTTGATGTAAATGAAATTATGCTCTATTTTTTTTTTTTATATTTGTGCTATTACATGTATTATTCATTGATTTTAATTACGATATAGGATGCCATTTATGAATAGACCTAATTATTTACTCATTCTACTGCTAGTGGGTATTTGGATTGTTTACAGTTTGATGCTATTATTAGCAATCCTGCTAAGGACATTCTTGTGCGTTTCCATGAATTTCTGTAGACCTTAGAGTATATACCTCGGAGTGGAATTGCTAAGTTTTAGGATATGCATATCTTCTGCTTTAGTAGAATAATGGCAAGTTGTTTTCTAAAGTGATTGTACCAGTTTATACTGCCATATAAAAAGAATATGGAATTACTGGAAAAACAGTTTGGAATGATCTACTAAAGTATGAGAATTTTCATAGTAACAGAATATGTGTTTCTAGTATTCTGAGTTTTCACCTACATTTGATGTTGTTAGTCTAATTTTTGCCAGGTTGTTGGTGTGTAATATCTCAGTTTGGTGTTAATTTTTCTTTTTCTTTTCTTTTCTTTCTTTCTTTTTTTTTAACAGTGATTCTTTCTTTCTTTCTTTTTTTTGAGGAAGATTAGCCTTGAGCTAACTGCTGCCAATCCTCCTCTTTTTGCTGAGGAAGACTGGCCCTGAGCTAACATCCGTGCCCATCTTCCTCTACTTTATATGTGGGATGTCTGCCACAGCATAACTTGCCAAGTGGTGCCATGTCCACACCTGGGATCCGAACTGGTGATCCCCGGGCCATGGAAGTGGAACGTGTGAACTTAACTGCTGCGCCACCAGGCTGGCCCAAATTTTTCTTGTTCTTAACTTTAAATGAGGTTGAATATCTTATAACGTGCTTGTTCTGGTCTTTTGCTTATTTTTCTATTTTTTTTTTAATTTTTTAATTTAAAGATTGGCCCCTGAGCTAACATCTGTTGCCAATCTGTTTTTTTTTTTTCTTCTTTTCCCCAAAGGCCCGCAGTATGTGGTTGTATATTCTACTTGTAGGTCCTTCTGGCTCTGCTATGTGGGACCCGCCTCAGCATGGCCTGACGAGCGGTGCTAGGTCCACGCCCAGGATCCAAACTGGCGAAACCCTGGGCCGTCAAAGTGGAGTGTGTGAACTTTACTACTCGGCCATGGGGCCAGCCCCTGTTTTTTCTTTTTCTTAATGATTTCAGTCCTTCGTATGTTTAGCATACTGTTTCCTCGTCAATTACATGTGTTGCAGGTAATTTTAATGTAGTCCAATTATGACCTTTCTTCTGGTTAGTGGTTTGTTTTGTTTTGTTTTTTGGTGAGGAAGGTTCACTCTGAACTAACATCTGTGCCAATCTTCCTCTGTTTTGTATGTGGGATGCTGCCACAGCATGGCTGATAAGTGGAGCAGGTCTGCACCCAGGATCCAGACTGGCGAACCCAGGCCGCTGAAGTGGACCATGCAGAACTTCAGCTACTTGACTATGGGGCCGGCCCATGGCTAGCATTTTTTGCTTCCTATTTAAGGACTCATTCCCTACTTCAAGATCGTGAAGATTTTGTGGTATATTATCTTCCAAAAGCTTTATCGTTAGCTTTCAAGTTTAGATCTACAATCCATGTGAAAATGGTTGTTGTGCATAATGTGAGGTAGAGGTCAAGTTTCATTTTTTTTCCTATATGACTATCTAGTGCAGCACTGGTTATTGAAAAAGTTATCCTTTCCCCACTGCTCTAAATTGATGTCCGTTCAGTGTTCAGATTTTCAATTCTTATTTTTTATACAGTATGTTTTGAATCAGGATCCAAATAAAGTTCACACTACCAATTTGATGTCTTAAGTTGCTAAAGTTGCTTTTGGTCTATAATTCCCACTTCATCCTCCCGCCCTGCCTTTCTGAGTTTTTTTTCTCTTGTAGTTTATTGGTAGAAGAATCTAGCTGGTTTACTCTATAATTTTCTTTAGTCTGGGTTTGCTGATTACATCACTGGTACAGTTTCACGTTTCCTCTATCCTCTGTGTTTCCTTTACATACATACGTTCAGGATGCCAGTCCTGTGTCAATTATATGTGTTGCATATAAGCATTTAAAATCATAAATTTCCCTCTGAGTACCACTTCCTGCCACAAATTTTCGTGTGCTGTATTTTTGTTATATGGCTCAAATTTTTAAAAAAATTTTTTATGACTTATTTTTTGACCTATGGATTATTTAGAATTATGTTTCTAAATTTCCAGACCTTTTGGAATTGTTTTTATTTAAAAACTTTTGAGATATAGTTTATATATCATAAAATTCACCCTTTAAAGAGTACCCTTCAGTGGTTTTTAGTATATTCACAAAGTTGTGCAACCATCACCACTGTCTAATTCCAGAACATTTTTATCACCCCAGAAAGAAATCATAGTCGTTAGTAATGACTCCTCATTATTCCTCCCTCAGCCCCTGGGAAACACTAATCTACTTTCTGTCTGATGGATTTGCTTATTCTGGACACTTAACATAAATGGAATTGTGTAATATGTGGCCTTTTGTGTCTTTTACTTCATGTTTTCAGGGTTCATCTATGTTGCAGCATGTGTCAGTACTCCATTCCTTTTTATGGCTGAATAATCAATTGGATGTGTATACCACATTTTGTTTATCTATCCATCAGTTGGTGGACATCTGGGTTTTTTCTACTTTTTCTCTATTACGAATAAGGCTGCTGGGAACATTATTGTACAAATTTTTGTGTGTCCATGCATTTTCAGTTCTCTTGGGTATATACCTAGGAGTAGAATTGCTGGGTGGTAATAGTTTTATGAATATTTTTTATTGATTTTTAGCTTAATTGTATTGTGGTCATAAAGCACACTTTGTATTGTTTCAGTACTTTGAAATTTGTTGAGTCTTTCTTGGTGGTTCAGAATATAGTTAATTTTTGTAAATATTCCATCTGTGCCTAAAAGGAATATGGTGTATACAGTTATTGGATACAGACTTCTATGTACGTGATCAACTCAGGTAATCATATTCAAATTTTCTATATCTATGCTGCTTATTCAATGAATTACTGAAGAAGTAAGTTAAGATCCACTATGATTGTGAATTTGTGTATTTCTCTTTATGGTTCTATTAATTTTGCCCTATGTATTTTGGGGTTTTGTTCTTAGGTTATATACAGGTGCAGACTTGTCATGTCTTCTCAGTGATTAAACCATTTATTTAGAAGTGACTCTCTTTCTAGACATAGTAATGCTTTTTGCCTGATGTTATTACAGCTCCACAAGCTTTCTTTTGGTTAATGTTTACATGGCGTATCTTTTTTATCCTTTTCCTTTTAACTTTTCTAAATCATATGTAAAATGTACCTCTTTTAATTATTTTTTAAATCCAGTCTGACAATTTTTGTCTTTTAACTGGAGCGCTTATTTCATTTGCACTCAATGTAATTACTGATATATTTGGATTTATTTCTGCCATCTTACTTTGGTCCCACTGGATTTATATTGTTTTCTACCTTTTCTGTCTTGCTTGGTATTTTCTTTTTATTTATTCCTCCTCCCTTAACTTGAAACTAAAACTTTTCTATTTTTGGAGGGGTTCTCTAGAATTTACAGTATACATACTTATCAAAGTCTGAAGTTAACCCCTTGTACTCTTTCTGGACAATCCAGGAATCTTATGCTTTTCTAGTTTATATACTATTGTTGTTGTGTGTTTTAATATTATGTGTGTGTATGTAAATATGTCTATATAAATGCTTTTGAGAAAATTGTAGCTTCACATGTAGTTGTGAGAAATAATACAGAGAGATCCTGTGTGTTCTTTACCCAGTTTCTCCCAATGGTAATGTCTTGTAAAACGATAGCATAACCAGAATATCAACATTGATATAGTCAAGACAGAACATTTCCATCACCACAAGAATCCCTCATGTTGCCCTTTTATAGCCATACTCACTTCCCTCCCATCCTCTGGGAACCACTAATCTATTCTCTATATCTATAATTTTTTTTTTCTGTCTTTCCCTTTTTTTTAAGTTTTTTAATTAAGGTTATGAAAGTTAACATCCTTGTGAAATTACAGTTGTACATCATTATTAGTCATGTTGTAGGTACACTACTTCACCCCTAGTGCCCTCCCCCCACCCTTTCCCCTGGCAACCACCGATCAGTTCTCTTTGTCCATGTGTTAATTACCACCTATGAGTGGAGTCATACAGAGTTCGTCTTTCTCTGTCTGGCTTATTTCACTCAACATAATACCCTCAAGGTCTATCCATGTTGTTGTGAATGGGACGACTTTGTCCTTTTTTATGGCTGAGTAGTATTCCATTATATATATATATATATACACACCACATCTTCTTTATCCAATCCTCAGTTGCTGGGCACTGAGGTTGGTTCCATGACTTGGCTATTGTGAATAATGCTGCGATGAACATAGGGGTGCATGGAACTTTTGGAATTGCTGATTTCAGGTTCTTAGGATAGATACCCAGTAGTGGGATGGCTGGGTCATAAGGTATTTCTATTCTTAACTTTTTGAGGAATCTCCATACTGTTTTCCATAGTGGCTGCACCAGTTTGCATTCCCACCAACAGTGTATGAGGGTTCCCTTTTCTCCACAGCCTCTCCAACATTTGTCACTCTTGGTTTTGGATATTTTTGCCATTCTAACAGGTGTAAGGTGATATCTTAGTGTAGTTTTGATTTGCATTTCTCTGATAATTAGTGATGATGAGCATCTTTTCATGTGTCTATTGGCCATCCGTATATCTTCTTTGGAGAAATGTCTGTTCATGTCCCCTGCCCATTTTGTAATTGGGTTGTTTGATTTTTTATTGTTGAGTTGTGTGAGTTCTTTGTATATTATGGAGATTAACCCTTTGTCAGATAAATAACTTGTGAATATTTTTTCCCAATTAGTGGGCTGTTTTTTTGTTTCAATCCTGTTTTCCCTTGCCTTGAAGAAGCTCTTTAGTCTGATGAAGTCCCATTTGTTTATTCTTTCTATTGTTTCCCTCATGTGAGGGGTTATGGTGTCCGAAAAGATTCTTTTGAAACTGATGTCAAAGAGTGTACTGCCGATATTCTCTTCTAGAAGACTTGTTGTTTCAGGCCTAATCTTTAGGTCTTTGATCCATTTTGAGTTTATTTTAGTAAATGGTGAAAAAGAATGGTTGATTTTCATTCTTTTTCATGTGGCTGTCCAGTTTTCCCAGCACCATTTGTTGAAGAGACTTTCTTTCCTCCATTGTAGGCCCTCAGCTCCTTTGTCAAAGAATAGCTGTCCATAGTCTATATCTATAATTTTATCATTATAAAAGTGTTATATAAATGAAATCGTACAGTATTGTAACCTTTTGGGATTGCTTTTTTTGTTTGTTTGTTTTCTGTGAGGAAGATTGGCCCTGAGCTAACATCTCTGCCAGTCTTCCTTTATTTTGTATGTGGGATGCCGCCACAGCACACCTTGATGAGTGGTGTGTAGATCTATGCCTGGCCTCCGAACCCACAAACCCCAGGCCACCAATTCAGAGCATGCAAACTTAACTACTACACCACCAGGCCAGACCCCTGAGATTGCTTTTTTTTATTCAATGTAATTCTCTGGAGATTCACTCTGGTTGTTAATCCCTTTTTATTGCTGTGTAGTAGTCCATGGTATGGATGACTAACAGCTTGTTTAACCATTCACCTGTTGAAAGACATCTTGGTTATTTCTACTTTTTTGGCTATGGGGAGTACAGCTGCTGTGAACACTTGTGTATAGGTTTTTGTGTGAACATATTCCTTATTTCTCTGGGATAAATGCCCAGGAGTGCAACTGCTAAGTCTCATGGTCGTTGCATGTTTAGTTTTTAAAGAAACTGCCAAACTTTTCCAGAGTGGGTATACCATTTCATATTTCCACCATCAATAAATGAGTAATCCAGTTTCTTCACATCCTCACCAGCATTTAGGGTTGTCACTATTTTTTATTTTAGCCGTTCTGTTTGATAGGTGTGTAGTAATATCTTGTGGTTTTAATTCTCATTTTCCTGGTGGCTAATGATGTTGAATTTTCATGTGCTTATTTGCCACCTGTGTGTCTGCTGAAATATTTCTTCATGTCATTCATTCATGTTCTAAGTGTATTTTTTTTATATTGAGTTTTGGAAATTCTTTGTGTCTTCTAGATACTAGTTCTTTGTTGAATATGTGGTTTGCAAATATATTCTGTATCTTGCCTTTTCATCTTCTTAACAGGTCTGAAAACAACAAAAGTTTTTAATTTCAGTGAAGTCCAATTACAGTTTTTCCTTTTATGGATGATGTTTTTGGTCTGTTACACAAAGAGTCTAATAATCTTTTGTCTAGGCCTAGATCTTGAAGAGTTTCTCCTATGTTATTTCTAAAAGTGTTATGATCTGTCATTTCACATTTAAGACTGTGATACATTTTTTAGTTAATTTTTGTGTAAAGTGTGAACCTTAAGTCGAGTTTAAATTTTTTGCCTCTTAATATCCAGTTGTTCCAATATTGGAAACTTTTTCTTTCCTCCATTGAATTGGCACCTTTGTAAAAAATCACTTGGGTGTATTTGTAGATCTGTTTCTGGATTCTCTGTTCTGTTCCATTGATGAATATGTCTCTCTCCCCAATAATACCTCACAGTCTTGTTTACTATACCTATAGAATATGAATTCAGGTAAACTGATTCCTTCCACTTTGTTTATTTCAAAATTGTTTTAGCTATACTAGTCTTTACCTTTTTGTATGAATTAATCTTCTCTGTATCTATATATATCTTGCTGGGTTTTATTTTTTAAATTGTGGTAGAATATATGCAACAAAATTTATCATTTTAACCATTCTTAAGTGTCTAGTTCAGTGACATTCAGTACATTCACATTGTTCTACAGTCATCACCATCATCTATTTCCAGAACTTTCTCACCTTCCCAAAATGAAACTCTCTACATATTAAACAATAACTCCTCATTACCCATCTCCACTAATCCCTGGCACCCATCATTCTACTTTCCGTTTCTACAAATTTTAATACTTCTAGTCCCTCATATAAGTAAACTCATACAATATTTGTCCTTTTGCGTCTGGTTCATTTCACTTAGCATTTGTTTTCAAGGTTCATCCATATTGTAGCCTGTATCAGATTTTATTCCTTTTTAAGTCTGCATAATATTCCATTGTATTTATATACCACATTTTGTTTATCCATTTATCCTTTGATGGATATTTGGATTGTTTCTACCTATTGGCTATTGTGAATAATGCTGCTGTGAACACGGGTGTGCAAATATCTATTTGAGTCTCTGCTTTCAGTTCTTTTGAGTATACACCTAGAAGTAGAATTGCTGGGTCATATGGTAATGATATTTTTTAGTTTTTTGGGGAACCACTATATTGTTTGCCAGTGGCTAGACCATTTTATGTTCCCACCATCCTAAAGTTATAGCAATATATTTAGAATTAATACCAACTTAATTTGGGGGTAGAAGAGCTCTAGTCCTTTTCAGCTTTGCTCTTTCCCTTCCCCATTTTATTTTATTGATGTCACAAATTACATCTTTGTATATTGTATACCCATTGACATAGATTTATAATTACTTTTTTATGCATTTGTCTTTTAAATCCTGTGCGAAAATAGAGTTACAAACCAAAATTATAATAATGTTGGTTTATATATTTGTCTATGTCTTTATTAGAGATCTTTGTATTTTCATATGGCTTTGTTTTACTGACTATCATTCTTTCATTTCAACTTGAAGGATTCCCTTTAGCATTTCTTGTAGGGCAAGTCTAGTTATAATGAATTCCCTTAGGTTTTGTTTATCCAGGAATGTGTTAATTTATCTGTCTTTTTTTATATTTCTTGGTGAGGAAGATTGGCCCTGAGCTAACATCTGTTGCCAATCTTCCTTTTTTTTTTTCCTCCCCAAAGCCCCAATAAATAGTTGTATATCCTAGTTGTAGGTCATTCTAGTTCTATGTGGGGTGCTGCCACAGCATGGCTTGATGAGCAGTATGTAGGTCTGCCCCCACGCTTTGACCTAGCGAACCCCGGGCCACTGAAGCAGAGCACATGAACTTAACCACTTGACCATGGGGCCAGCCCCATGTCATTTTTGAGGCACACTTTCACCAGATAAAGAATTCTTGGTTGACATAGTTTCTTTGAGACCTATATTTATCACCCTGCTAACTTTCGGCCTGCAAAGTTTCTGCTGGGAAATTGACTAATAATTTTATTGAGGATCCCTCATATGTGAGGATTGTTTTTTCTTGCTGCTTTCAAGATTCTCTCTTTGTCTTTTGACAGTTTAATTATAGTGTGTCTTGGTGTGGGTCTTTTTCAGTTTATCCTACTTAGAGTTTGGTGAGCTTGTATTTGTAGATTCATGCCTTTCTTCAGATTTGGGAAGTTTTTGACCATTATTTCTCCAAATAATCTCTCTGTCCCTTTCTCTCTTCTCCTAGGACTCCAATAATATGCATATTGCTTAGCTTGATAGTGTCTCATAAGTCCCTTGAGCTCTTCAGTTTTCTTCTTTCTTTTTTCTTTTTGTTCCTCAGATCCAATAATCTTAAATGACCTATCTTTAAATTTGCTGATTATTTTGCCTGTTTGAGTTGGCTGTTGAATGTCCATAGTGAATTTTTCAGTTATTTTATATTTCTGCTCTGGAATTTGTTTGGTTCCTTTTTGCGATCTCTGTCTCTTTGTTGATATTCTCATTTTATTCATATATTATTTTCCTGATTACTTTCAGTTCTTTGTGTTTTCCTTTAGCTCTTTGAGCATATTGAAGACTGTTGTTTTAAAATCTTGCTCTAGTACATCCAGTGTTTTTGTTTCTTTAGGGACAGTGTCTGCCACTTTATTTTCATCCTTTGAATGGGCTGTTTTCTTGTTTTTGTTTTTTTGGATGCCTTGTGATTTTTTTGTTGAAAAGAAGGCATTTGAAAAAACAGCTCTTCCCATGGTGAGAAACTAGCTCCATGCTGAAAAAGACTGTCACTAATTAACAGGGTGTTTTCTGAGCCTTGAGATCAGCCTGAGGTGAAGACTTGTGTCTTCTCTCATCTCTTCTTGGCATTCATCTTGCTTGGGCTTGTGTGCATCCTTTTTCTACTTCCCCATATACATAGCTGCTTTTAAATATCTTAACTTCTCAAAAAGTCACACCTCAGCTGCTTCTCCTAGCTTTAGATGTTCTATTGTATTCCTATGCCCATAATCTCTTTCTCAGACATCTATTGTCTGTAATCCCCCTGCAGCTTTCACAAGCACTGTTCACTGCTTCCCATGTTTTTTTCCAGCCTGACATCTGAGTTATTCTGCTTTTCCTTACCTGAGCTCTGGAGTTGATTGTGACAGAGCAGCACCTTAGGCAGCCCCCAGACCGGTTAGAATGTTGCAAATGAGGTCTGCTCTGTTCACTCCAGTTGGAGGGAGTGTATTGGCAGTTGGGCTGCTGCTTCCTCCTGACTGTTCCTTGTGGAAAAGGGGATGGGACAAGGATGAATAACAATGCCATGAAATTTTCTACCTTTTTTAAGGTAACTTTTTCTTGATTGAGTGTTCACTTGTTTGCTATAGATCTTTGACTGTTTTCCAGAGCTCCTATAAAGTTATTTTAGCCAGTCTCTTGATTTTTTTTCTTTAATGTTTCTTGGGGGGAATGAGGGCCTGGAGTTATATACTATTTCGTTGTCTTGCTGACATCACTCGTCATTGCTGGTCTTTTGATAGCAATTCTGTTAAACCTGTCTGTCAATTTAGGGAGAATTGACATCCTATTGTGGTGAGTCTTCCAATTTTTGAACACATTATGTCTCTCCACTTTTGAAATTTTCATTAGCATCATGTAGTTTTCAGCCTTCTTTGCCTATGCATATTTTGTTAGATTTATATTTAAAAATTTATATCATTGGAAATGATACTGTATTTTTAGTTTTGGCATATAAGTGTTCATTGCTGGTTGGTATATAGAAGTACAACTGATTTTTGTACATTGATATGGTATTCTATGACTTTGCTGAACTCACAATTAGTTCTAGGAATGTTTTTGTAGTTTCCTTTAAATTTTCTGCTTGGAGCATTACGTCATCTTCAAATAGGGACAGTTTTGTTTCTTCCTTTCTAATCTTTAGTCCTCTTATTTCCTTCTCTTCCCTTATTGCACTGACTGGAACTTCCAGCACTATGCTGAATAAGAGTGGTGTGAGCAGGGACCGGCCCCGTGGCAAAGTGGTTAAGTTTGTATGCTCTGCTTCAGTGGCCCAGGGTGTGTGGGTTCAGATCCTGGGTGCAAACCAAGCACCGCTCATCAAGCCATGCTGTGGCGGCATCCCACATAAAATAGAGGAAGATTGGCACAGATGTTAGCTCAGCAACAATCTTCCTCAAGGAAAAAGAAGAGGATTGGTAACAGATGTTAACTCAGGGCCAATCTTCCTCAAAAAACACAAAAAAACAGAGTGATGAGAGCAGACATCTTTTTCTTGTTTCCTCTCGCAGGGGGAATCATTTAGTCTTTCATCGTTAAGGATAATGCTATCTGTAGGGTTTTTTTTTTTTAAGTTGAGAAAATTCTCCTCTGTGTTTTTCTGAGTTTTATTAATGCATGATTGTTGAATTTTGGTAAATGCTTTTTCTGTATGAATTGATAGGTTATTTTTTTTCTTTAGCCTGTTAATATGGTGGATTACATTGATTGATTTTCAAATATTGAGCCAGCCTTGCATCCATGGAATAAACCCCATGATCATGGTGTATAATTCTTTTTATATGTTACTGAATTCTGTTTGATAATATTTTGTTCAGGATACTTTAATTGTATTCATGAGAGATATTGGTCTGTTGTGTTTTTATCTTTCTTTTTTTTAATACTGTCTTTGGTTTTGGTATCAGGGTAACATTCATTCTTAAAATAAATTGGGAAGTGTTTCTTCCACGTTTGTTTTGTGGAAGAGATTGTGTAGCATTGGTGTTAATTTTTCTTTAAACATTTGATAGAATTCTCCAGTGAAACTATCAAGGCCTTGAAATTTCTTCTGGGGGACTTCTTAGATTATAAGTTCAATATCCTTAATAGTTATAAAGCTATTTAAATTATCCATTTCATAATAAGCAAGTTGTGGTAGTTTGTAGTTTTGAGGAATTGGTTCATTTTGTTTCAGTTGTCAAATTTATGTATATGGAGTTGTTTGTAGTAATCTCTTATTATCTTTTAGGTGTCTTCAGGGTCTGTTGTGATATCCCCTGTTTCATTTAGATATTGGTAATTTGTATATTCTCTTTTTTTCTTTGTCAGTCTTGCTAGAGGTTTGTCAGTTTTAACTAATCTTTACAAAGAAAAGTTCTTTTTTTTTTTTTAAATTTTATTTTTCCTTTTTCTCTCAAAGCCCCCCGGTACATAGTTGTGTAATTTTAGTTGTGGGTCCTTCCAGTTGTGGCATATGGGGTGCCGCCTCAGCATGGCCTGACCAGCAGTGCCATGTCCACGCCCAGGATTCAAACCAGCGAAATCCTGGGCTGCCGAAGCAGAGTGCGAGAACTTAACCACTCGGCCATGGGGCCAGCCCTGAAAATTTCTTTGTTTTATTGCTTTTCTCTGTTTTTCTGTTTTCAGTTTTATTGATTTTTGCTTTTATCTTCATCACTTCCTTTTTTCTGCTTACTTTGCGTTTATTTTGCTTTTCATATTCTAGGTTCTTGAGGACAGGAACTTTAATTGATTTGAACCTTTTCCTATTTTCTACAGTGTGTATTTACTGCTTCAAATTTTCCTCAGCCCTGCTTTAGCTGTGTCCCACAAATTTTGATATGTTGTGCTTTCTTTTTCATTCAGTTCAATGTATTTTTTATTTCCCTTGATAATTCTTCTTTGACCTATGGATTATTTAGAAATATGTTCTTTAATTTCCATGTATTTGGATATTTTCCTGTTATCTTTCTATTGTTGATTTCTAGTTTGATTCCATTGTATTTGGCGAACACAATCTATATGATTTTCGTTCTTTTATAGTTGAACTATGTTTTCCAGCTCATGATATAGTCTCTCTTGTGTTTTCCATGGGTACTTGAAAAGAATGTGTACTGTTGTAGTTGGGTGGGGTGTTATATAAATGTTGATTAGATCCTTTTGGTTTATGGTGTTTTGAGTTCTATATCTTTGCTGATTTTCTGTCTAGTTGTTTTTCTTTATTGTTTATTGCTGCTTTACCAAATTACCACAAAGTGAGTGGCTTAAAACAATACAAAATTATTATTTTACACTTCTGTAGGTCAGAACTCTGACACATGTCTCCATGGGTTTAGATCAAAGTATTGGCTGCTCTGCAATCCTTTCTGGAGGCATTTCTTTGCCTTTTACAGCTTCAATGGGTTGCCCACATTCCTTGGCTCATGGTCTCATTTCTCTAATTTCAAAGCCAGCACAGAGGATCTGATCCTTCTCACACTGCATCATTCTGACCTTCACTTCTTTCTCCCTTTTCTACTTCTAAAGACCCTTGTGGTTACGTTGAGCCCATCCAGATAATCCAGGATAATCTCCCTATCTTAAAGTCAGCTGGTTAGCAAACTTAATTCCATCTGCAACCTTAATTATCCTATTCTGTGTGAGGTAACATATTTTTTTGTTTTGAGGTTTAGGATGTGAACATTTTTCTGCCTACCACAGTGAAGTTTCAAGGTTCCTTTTTTTTATTATTTCCTTTCTGTTTAGGATACTTCCTTTAGCCATTCTTTTAGGGTAAGTCCACGGTGACAAATTCTCTTAGTTTTCCTTCATATGAGACTATCTTGATTTCTCCCTAATTCCTGAAGGATATTTTGCTGGGTATAGGATTCTTGTTTGACATTTCTTTCTTTCATCACCTGAAAAATGTTATGCCACTTCCTTCTGGCTTCCATTGCTTCCGATGAGAAATCTACTGTATTTCTAATTGTTTTCTCCCTGTATATAAAGGTTTATTTTTGTCTGACTGTTTTAAAGTTTTTTTCTTTGTCTTTAGTTTTTAGAAGTTTCATTATGATGGTTCTTGGTGTAGATTTCTTTAGATTTTTATTGTTTGGTGTTTTCTCAGCTTCTTGAATATGTAGTTTGTGTCTCTTCCCAAATTTGGGAAGTTTTCAGCCATTATTTTTTTGAGTACTTTTTCAGTCCTGCTTTCTTTCTTCTCCTCTTTTGGACTCCAGTGACATGAATGTTACATCTCTTGTTATAGTTTCTTGGATCCCTCAGGCTCTGTTCTTTGTGTTTGTATTTTTTTGTTTAGTTTCTTTCTTTTTCTCTTGTTCTGATTGGGTAATTTCTATGATTCTGTCTTCTGGTTCACTTGTTCTTGCCTCTCTCCTCCATTCTACTGAGTCCAATCCAGAGCTTATTATTATGGTTATTATATTCTTTAGTTCTAAAATGTCGATTTTGTATTTCTTTATGTTTTATTTCTTTGCTGAAACTTTTTATCTACTGAGGCTTTCTATTTACTTATTTCAAAGATGTTAATAATTCTTCATGAAAACATATTTATCATGGCTGCTAAAATCTTTTTCTAATAATTCTAACATCTCTGTCATCTCAATTTTGGCATCAATTGTATTTTTTCATTTAGTTTGGGATCTTCCTGGTTCTTGATATGAAGAGTGATTTTTCAATTGAAACTTGGACATTTTTGTAGTATGTTCTAGACTCTGAATCTTATGTAAGCCTTTTGTTTTAGTTGGCTTTTTGCAACACTGCTCCAGCAATGAGAGGGGACATTACCTTGTCACCATCAGGTGGAGGTAGATATCCACCTTCCTCATTGGCCTCTGTTTTACTGCTTTGCAGGGGTGGAAATTCCAGCTCCACATGTGGTCTCTGCTGATACTACAAAGGGGTGTTGCCTGATTACTGCTGGGTGATGGTGAAAGTCCTGATTCCCACTAGACTTCCTCTGATATCACTTCACTGGGGATGGGAAGCTCCTCCATTATTGCTGAGTGGAGGTGGAGGTCCTGGCTTCCCATGTGGCCTGTGCTGACACTGTTTGGCAAGAGTCTTGTTACTAGCTTGTGGGATGAAATTCCTGGCTCCTTACTTGGCCTTCTCTGACACAACCCCAGTAGGGGTGTTGGGCACCTAAATTACAACCTATTTAGGGTGGAAGTGTAGTCTCCTCACTAGCGTGGGTAGGGGTGGGACTGTAGTTGTTTCTGTGTTTAGCTGTAATAGAGTGGTTACTGTCTAAAAGTTTCTGTATTGCCAAATAACTTCTTACCTGGTTCTTTGTTTAGAGATAGGAGGCTTTTGTTGCCTTTTTTTTGTCTTTGCCCATTGATATTTCCAGATTACTGGATTGGTCAGCTCCATATCTAGAATATATGAGGTTAAAAAAAAAAAAATCAGGGAACTCAACACTCTGTCATTCCTTGGGTCCTGAGTTTCCTAGCTGGTCTAATTCTTGTCTCCCCTTTCTGACTCTTGTGTTTTATATATAAATGTTCAGGGTTTGGGTTGTATTTAGAGGGAGAAATAGGGGAAAGTACGTTTATCCCATCTCCCAGAAGC